GCTCATAGCCCAGGTTTTATATTTATTTCAGCTGAGTGTCTAGGGAAGGCATTCTCCAAATGCAACTAGAGAAAATACATAAGATATTTCTTGTGGTTCTCCCAGATATTAAAATGCAATCAAAAGGCCTTAGGAAGCACCCAAAGGTTTCATTTCTATACATTTCTCCAGTTAACACTGAGGATGATTACTAATATGCTAGAGTAGACTAATGCCTTGGTCTTGGTGTTCCATTTACAAAAAAGGGGGTTCTTCACATTTCATACATGTATGAAAACACAAAGTTATACTGCCCCAGTGCTTAAGAGTTTCAAAAAGGAAAATATATCATGCGACAGGATGAAATGCTGCAAAACATTCTGCCAGCAGTGTCAGCTTTATGCATTGCACGTGTAATACTAGTAGTTCCAAATAAGTACCTTTTTATAATACATAACCCAGAATAATTGCTGCTACCTCTGTATTTTCCCCCTACACTGGCTCAGATATTTGTAAATAATTCCACCCATGTGGTTCAGCTTCCTGCCATGTTTTTAACTGGGACCTGCTGGTGAAGGGAAGGGAATAAATCTTGAGGCGCCAGGCAAAAACTTTTATATATAACCAGGCCTTTAGCTATCTGTGGCCTTTTAGAATTGGGATGTCTTTTAATTTATGTGGGGATTTTTGTTTGTAAGTTGCTTTGGGTTGCCCTAGGCAAGATAAAGCGACTGACCAAATTCAAGAAATAATAATAAAAAGTAATAATAATAATTTTTTAAAATAAGAATAAATCTTATACATGACATCCAAGGTCCACAGGAAGATCATCTGCCATCATTTGTATGATTTGGAAACATATCAGGAAGCTGAACCCCATGGTTGTAAACCTTTGCACAAACACCAGCAGTCAGTTTTCTTATGAATTTTGATGTAACTAACAACTTGTGATGATAGGTGCCTGGTGACAAATTTCCTGTAAAGCAAAAATAAAAATAAAAAATTGCTACATGTATTTTAAATATCAGCAGAAAAATTCATCAAACAAAACTATGTTTCAGTTATACCATGCTTTTCTCAAATCATGCTAGATTTATACAACACTTTTTTTAAAAAAAAAGCAAAGATTTAAACCTGACTGTAAACACTTCTAATATGATTATAATTTACTCTGGTTCTTTTTTAATTGTTAATACTTTGTCTAAGAGTCCGTATACATTTCCATTCACATTGTGTTGAAGGGACACATTATTACTTGAATGACTACTGTAAGTATTCCTTACATTATGAAATGGTATTTTACATTCTGCAACAGGCGATAACTCTTTCTTAAATGTGACAACAGATGAATGTTCTGTAAATGACGTATCACTCCAAACATCTTTGCCATGTGCTTCCTGAATATTAATGGAATTCCCACCTTTCTGTAACATGTAATATAATATAGGATTAGTTTTGGTCAGTCTTGGGGAATCTCGCTCGTGTTCATTTTTGTCCGTATCTGTGATGACCCATTTTATAGGCCCCCTTTCTCTAGGTACATGGCAAACACTAAACTGGTCACATTCAGGTTTTGATGAAACTGTGCCTCCCAAATGTTCAGTGAAGGGAGAACTGGCAGGACTCCTCATTGCAACTGAATACTGAAATGTTCGGTGATCCAAACAATTGGTTTGCTGTCCAGGATTCCCCATTAGCGTATGTACTGAAGGGACACTGAATTCAGGTTTGCTGTTATTTGTGAGGTTATTTTTTGTTCCTTTCTTTTTGCCATCAGTTACTGCTGAATTATTCCTATGCTGAGGCACGTCTTTTTCACAATTTTCTGACAGAAGCAGTTGTTTCAACACGTTAAATCCTTTGCTTTCTCTAGACCAACTCCTATTTTCACTTTCATTATTTGAACCGTGACCTGAAGGGTATTTTAATTCAACATCAGTTCTGCTAAATTTCAATTCTTTCTGGTTGAGTCCAGGACCATACAAGGCATCTGCAGAAGACTTATGATTGTTTGCAGCATCAGATATGTTACCTTTGTTACCTTTTAGCAATTTCAAATGACCTTCTGAAGGTTCAGGATGCAGCTTCCTCTTCTTTGGGACTGTGCTGGGGCTTTTTGATTCCACAAAAGTCTGTTCCGCATTTCTGTGGCTCCTGTCCAGTTCATCTGCAGAATAGCTATCTTGACTCTGCCTCAGCAATCGACTTAGTAGGCCATTCTTTGAAAAAGAAAAGCCTTGAGGTGAGAGAGGGTTGGGTTTAAATTCCTCTGATGCTGGAGAAGTAGCTGGATGTCTCTCTAATGAATGAGCTATTCCATGATATTTCTTGCTAACACTTTCCCTTACTTGCTGTGCATTTGGATTCTGAAGGGCATTTGATTCCTCAGAAGGTTCAGCTTTTATTTTTACAGTCAATATTTGTTCATTCAAAGCCTTTTCTGTCGGGTCTTGTAAACTCTCTTCTTTTGAATTCATCCTCTCCTTTGTTTCAGTCATACCTTTGTTGGAGGTTCCCAGAAGCAGTTGGAGGACAGTGCGTCTTTCAAGTAGATTCTGGATTTCTGAACTGGGAAATCTTTGTTCAGCTGGTAGAGGCTGACTACTGACAATTTTGTTTTCTTCAAGTGCACCTGATGCATTAGTAATCAGGGAGCTATTTAATCCATCTATCAATCCAACTGGTTTCTCTGGGTTTAGAGTCATCATTTGTTTGCCTGTCTGCCTTTGCTCATCTATTGACATGGAAGACTGCATCCCACATTGAGCCAAGTTTTGCAAAAGTTTACTTGCACTAAAAGATGGATTTGTTTGTACAGTTTCATTTCGGCTCTGTTTAGTTCCTTGAATTTCTTTGTGTACTGTAAGATCTATCAAGTGTTTAGAAGCCGGATTAATTAGTCTTTCAGGCTGTATGATGCAAGTGTATGGTGGTGAATTATGTTTGACCAATAAAGGAGAATGGTGTGAAAGGTTGATGGGGGAATCAGCTTGTGTAGAATTTAGCAGAGGAGGAGTGTTTATTGGAGTAATTTGATTTGTACTAGAGCAATCTGTCATAGGAGTTCTGTTACCCATTGCTAAATTAAATTTTGTCACATCAGCTGAAACTAATGCACTCTCAGTTTCTGTGATTTTCTCAACATTGTCTTCATTTTTATGGCCAAGTAATAACTGAAGCAAAGTTACTTTTTGATGTGGATTGAGTTTTGCATTTTTAGAGGGACTTTTCTCTTCTACATTTTCTAGACAAGGAACTTTTGAATCCCAGTTGTGAAGTATGGATTGGGTTAAGTTGTCTAGAGAAGCTGGCTGCGCAGAATCTGGTTTATTTGTTTTCTGTTTGAAAGATAAGTCTATAGGAAGACAATTAGAATGAGAACTTTCATCATCACTGCTGTCATCTTCTGTAAAACTTGGATTGTTGTCAGAATACTCATCAACCGTAGTTGGTGTACTACTCTCCTCAAAAATACTGGACCTTTCATTCTGTTCATATCCTTTAGTCTGCTTAGTAGCACTGTGATTTTTAAGGAGATGTAAAAGTAAACTACTGTTGGTAGGTGGTTTCAAATGATTTTTTTCCATTGTTGTTTTGTAGCCTATGCTTTTAGGAGATGGATGAATTACCCCCATAGGACTCTGAAAATGTGTCATATTGCTTTTGTTGGTTATTGATTTGGTTGAAGATCTTACCTGACCATTAGGATGGCTTTCAATTCCTTTTGACAGTTTGAAATGGCCAACATCTTTCGGAACACTTTCTTTTAATCTTGCCATAGCAGCAAGTCTCTCACTTGCAATTTGACTTGCATTTTGTGCTTTTAGAGCATGTTCTCTGGAGTACTGCTGCAAGTGCGCTTCACTTGAAAGAAGCAAGGCTAGCTGACTACAAGCCACACTGGGTTTAGGAGACGTAGCAGGACTAGACCTTTTTTCCACCATGCTTGCAACAGCTTGTAATCTTGCAGCACAAGACAGCGACTCACTCATCACCTTGGAACCACTTTGTCCTGTATGCGAAGATTCTATAAACCGATCTTTAACCAGATTAGCTGTTAGCTCAGGCAGGCCAGTCTCCAGCTTTTCATCTTTTGCTTTGCTCTTCTTCAGGAGAGTCTTCAAGTGACTGGATGCAACACCATAGCACCTTAAGTCTTTCTCAACTTGCAGAGAATCGTGGCTAAGGGAATACCCTTGCTCCTTGAGGCTCTGCCTAATCTGTTGTGACAAAGCAACGCTCTGCAGCCTAGAGCTGAATGACTGAAGCAAAGAGGCCAGTAATGTGCTATCCTGTTTGCCTTTAGGCACATTTTCAACCATGCCAGCTAACAAAGCTTCTTTTTTCCCATTTAAATCCACAATAGAATCAGACAAGCGTCTTCTCTTTGCTGCATTCCAGTCTTCAGAAGACTGCAATAGCCTTGCCTTTTTGTGATGCAGCATGCCAGAACCTTGATATGTATGTGTGTTAGCAACTGAACCATCTCTCTGACAGCTGGGAGATGTATTTCCAGAAACCCTGAAGTTCTGATCTTCTGCACCAGGCCCAACAGGCTTTTTGTCAACCGCAGAACCCGAACCTCCTGCTGCTTGATGCATTAGTAATCCCTCTAGGTAAGTTAGAACAACGGAATCCTGGTGCATCTCAGAGACAAGCTCTTCTCCATGAGTCATGTTCAATACAAGTATCCACAAAGGCTCCCTTTTTATTCACTTTAAGGACTAACTTGTTATTGGTGAACTGAGACTCAGATTAATAAGCAAGTCTACTGCTGCCTACAAAATGTGATGCAGAACAGGTGCAGTAGTCCTTGATTGATTCTCTCATTAAGTTTTTGTGGAAAACTAAAAGTTCCATTTTTATGCATCTCTGATGCGGTATGCACATGCATTTATGAAGGTGATCCAGATTGACTTATTTAAAACATGGTTCCAGAGGAAACATATTCATATTCTTCTAGTAGATTTCTGCAGCTGAGGATTTCTTTTTTCAGTCTTTTCTCATCATATTGTACATGCTTAATTCCTATGAAGAAAAAAAGAAGAAAAATCAGCAAAAGTATTTTGAAGGTACCAAAATTGTATTCAAGCAAAAACAGAAGCACATCACACAGCTCTGCAGTCTTTTGATCAGCTAATTCTTCCTGAACCAAACCAGCACCTTGCACTTTCGTTTCCCTATAAAGTGTTGCTTGAAAGCCCCTCCTCACACAAATGATAGATTACAGCAGGCATAGGCAAACTCGGCCCTCCAGATGTTTTGAGACTACAATTCCCATCATCCCTGACCACTGGTCCTGCTAGCTATGGATGATGGGAGTTGTAGCTCCAAAACATCTGGAGGGCCAAGTTTGCCTATGGCTGGATTACAGTTAATAGAATGTCCCAATACAGGCATTGAAAAGAATGGGGGGAGGGCACAATGGGTTACACAGAGTCAGGGCCAAACTGAAGCACCTTGGCTGTCCTGTCCCCTGCCCCAACTTGAAGCCATGGAATGACGGCAGAAGCCGGAAAGCAAGCATTTGATGTTGGTGTCTGCCTTCCTTAACAAATACGTGATTCAGATAGTTTACTATGATACTGGTTATCATCATCATCATCTCGGAAAGAGGGACACCCCCCCTCTCTTTGGTATTCACTACTATACATTGTACTGTGTGTCACCATTTGAAAATGATCATGAAAGAGAAGAAAACTGAGGCTTTTATGGAGCCAGCAAACTGCTAAATGTACCCAGTCTTCCAGAATAACAGGCTAAAGATATATCGGCATGGATAGAACAGCAAAGGATTTGGGCCACAGTCTAGAAAGGCTACTTTCCACATATGACTATGTGCAGATTTTAATAACTTTTTTTTGTACAGCCAATCAATTGGCTAGATTTATATGGAAAGGTGGGCTGCCTCTCCAGCCAAGTGAGTGGGCACATAAAAAAACCCAAAACTGACTGCTAACTTTGTTCCTCTGGACTTTTATGTGCAAATAAAGTTTTTTTAAAAGGGAAATGGTAAGCATTAAAAAATTCAAGATAAATATTTATTTCCTAACTTAAAAATGATGTAATATCTTTTCCATTTTTTATAAAGTTTAAAACAAGTCTATTAACAAATCTCAGTCATAAGAGCCAGTGCCTAATGAATGAAACATTAATCTAAAGAGCATTAAGAATCAGCTAAAATAAACATCTTAATGCTTAAACGGCGTTTCCGTGTGCTGCGCTGGTGCTGGCTCGCCAGAGCAGCTTCATCACGCTGGCCACGTGACCCAGAAGTGTCTCCGGACAGCGCTGGCCCCCGGCCTCTTAAGTGAGATGGGCGCACAACCCTAGAGTCGGACATGACTGGCCCGTAGGGCAGGGGTACCTTTACCTTTACCTTTAAAATAAACATCAAAATTAGTGTCAGCTATACAAGACCCACCCCATACCTGTGACTGTGAATTATTTTAACCGCTTTTAATAATAATAATAATAATAATAATAATAATAATAATAGTTTTATTATTTATAATTTTAACACTGTTGTACCGTGAACTGAAACCAGCTGGTGAAGAGTGCGTGTTAATAATAAATAATATAGAAACGCTGATAACAAAAAATACTGCCTCCAGGGTAACTAAACTCTGGATACAATAGATATGAATGAAATATTTATGAAATAATTAGGATCCAGCTATTTGAGTATAAACAAATACATAGCAATGTATCATCAAATTGCAGCCTTTGATCTTGGACTCTTTGCATATCTGCCACTTTTATGTCAACTTCTAGTTACTCTGTTTAAGGCTCTCCTACCTTCATCTGCCCCAGTTCTCCTTCTCAGGGCCTAATTTGATTTCTGCCTTCTGTAGTCCCCACCATAGTCAACACCAGCTGCTCCCTCTGCCTCAAACAGATGGTGGGTCAGTCCAGATGTGATACCAAAGCATGATTTGTTACAGGAACAAGCCTTGTGTTCATATGCTGCTTTCCCCTCACATTTAGTAAGAATAGAATAAGGCTTAAAAATATGTTGTTTAGCTGTCAGAAATGAGGTGGCTAGTTCCAAGTCCTACCAATTTTTAAAAATTAGTAACAAAACCCATTAAACCTACTTTTGTAGAGTTACTAGATTTTAATATGGAGAAATGTCATTGTTCTACAAAATAAATTTGTCACTGAATGTCTATAAGTACTCCGAAAGTGATTCATGTGTTATGAACTGAGGCTGGTATGTTGGCGTAACTGTTCACACAAATGATTTGCTTGCGTGATGCGTATTCATAAAGGAGGTGACTCATGAAAGACATGGTGGGAACTTCCATGAGCAGAGAAAATGAGTATGTCAGCTTTTTAGAAGTTACACTTCAAATACTGGCTTGTGGAAACAAGGAGTTATATCTTTCCTCTCCCCAAATCTGTTCCAGGGAGGTCTCCAATGCATTGGAGCAGACTTTGAAGGGTACACAGGGGACTGTAGGGGGAAAGAGAGCAAGAAGATCTGCTAGGCAAGTGAAGGTACGATGTGTGAGCGGAACAGCTTCTGCACATAGTCAAGCTGTTTCAAAACGAAGGACATGTTTCTACAGAATTCTTTTATGAGTTAAGTGTTCTACTAAACAGTGAAAACCTTACCAATATTATACTAAATCCACTACAAAAATTGCCATATGAGTTAGTGATTTGTATGTGCGGTCTACTATTTTATGTTTGCTAATATGTCAAAAAAAGGGGAAAAAATCAGTGATGGAGATCTGAATCTCCATCAAGAATTCACAGTAGTCTTGCAGCAGTTTCTCTGACCTCGTGTGGAGGATTTTTCATTAGTATGTTTTGATAATACATAAAAGAGATATAAATAAAACTTGTAAGATTGTGATGTTTATGACATTAGAACAACATAATTACCAGTCAACAACTAATATTTGGAAATTTGAAAGTGCTGAGATGATATGGTCCTAGAATATACAACTGTGGTAACACTACTGTCCTTGGAACAGTAAATAACTTCCACAGTATTTTCACACACCCCTTTGCCACCACAATATAGGTATCCTTGATGCATATCTGGTTCTCGATCAAGTGATCCTGAGATCTCATCCTCTGGGTTAGAAGAGGGGGCTGAACCTAAGGCAAATAAACCCTTCTGCCCTCTTACTAAATATCTTTTTTAATTGGGATAGGACTAGGCTGCATAAGCACTATTTTCCTCACGTATCTCTGGATTGGGGGCAGTAATGCAGTACAGGAAGAAAAAGGTTATTTAGCTTAAACATTCACTCTAAGGACACACACTCTTAAGTAATTTATCAAATTTATGTTGATAAAATGTCAGCAATTTTGAGCAAAAGACATGATAGATAATCATAAAGTTGTGGCCATAGCTCTTAGTAGAATGTTTTATATATGTCTTCATGAATGCTACGGAAAGAAAGTAATTGCAAAATAGCAAGAAAGGGCTATTTATCTTTGCTACTTGTTCTATTAATGATAGTTGTTGAAATGAATCTTACTACCTAAGTAGTGGAAATCAATACTGACACATCTGCAAATATCAGGTTTCCCATTCAAATCATTCTCCCAAGAATAAACATTGTACTCAGTATGAGAACTTCACAACCAATTAATTTGCAGCTTACATGACTAATAATAGTGTTATTAATTGTGGGGAGGTGCAAACTCCCCATAATCCTAACTTTAGTAGAAGGCAGATTTTAGCCAGTATTTGGAGTATGGAGGGAAGATGCTAGGCCAGTGAAAAATACAGGCTGAACCAGTCCTCCTATTCAGAAAATGGTTGCTAGCGATGCCCTTAAGAGACCCAAGTACTGGGCCATTAAGAACAACTGACCATGCAGATGCTGTCCTCCCTGCCAACGAAGAAGTGGACAGCAACAGAAGAACTGAGAGAGGGAGGTTTCCAGTGGTAACGGGGTATGATGTCACCACTGGAAAAAAGGTATCCTTTTAAAACAGGTTTTGCAGCAGGTGTTTTGGGGAAGAAGAATGAAAGGCACTGGTTGGAGGAGGCTGCACGCAGAGCCTGGAGAGCCTGGTCCCCTTCTGCTTTGGACCCAAACATGCCAAAGCTATGAGAGAAGCAACGAGAGACCCCCTTGCAGTGTGTTGTTCTGCACTTCCTCCATCAAAACTCAGGTTATAAATGTGTGTGCAAAGTAAACCACATTTCATAAAGACAGGGCAGTTTTAACCATATTTCCTTTCATAACATGCTTAAATCGGACGTAGCTTAGGACTGCACATTCTAGCCAAAACCAACATTCAAAACAGAGTATGTGGATTTAGGCTAATTTAACTTGCCGTAACAACTGCTTTCTGCTGTTCAAGGCTGTTATGGTTCCCATATTTTGCACTTCAATGGAAGCAACTGGTGGGGGCGAGAATAGTAGCCAAGTGTTAAGTGTCACAGGGAATGATATGAGGAACACATTACAGCGAGTTTATATGTGTACATATGAGGGAGAAAAACACTGTGTGAATTATTGAGAAATTAGCAGCCTGCTCTTCATATTAGGAAAATGTGACTATAAGATTAAGATTATGATTTAACGTTACTATCAGTATAACATTCAAATTCAACTGTAAGTCATCTCTAGTCTTAATTACTGAATTATAATTGCATTATAATGTGTTGCATATGAGGCCTTCTTAGAAGTGGATTCCTTGCCTATGGAATGGGAGGCCTGCCTGGTGCTGACATTAACATCTTTTCAGCAACAGACAAAGCTTTTTCTTTTTTTCTAGGTATTTGGTTGTTAAGATCTTTTGTGTTTGGGGGGACATTTTAGCTGGTTTGAAAAGTGAAGCTTTACTAAAACATACACAATTCATGACACCACAGAAATCTGTTTTGAAATATTGATGGAAAACATCTAGTTATTAAAATGGACCACTTTAAATTATATATGAATCAAAATTAATAATTTTTTAGAATTAGGAAATGTATTTTGACATTATTGTGTTTCAGTACATTTCAAAGTCTCAGTCGATGCTTGAACAAAGTTAATTACATGATCATTTAACTTCAGTACTGAATTATTAATAGAAGAGTAAAAATGTAGATAAGAATGCATAAATAAACGTATCAAACTCAGTTATAAAAATGAATTTGAGAGCTGGAGAAGACTTGATCACAAAGTATATGCGTGCACACACCCACACCCATTATTGACAAATAATGCACATTTTGGAAAATATTCTAAATCACTATAAATAATTGTACTCTTCTTAAAAATATTTTATGATTACTGGAAAAAGAACAAAATTAATAACTGTTTTGAACTTTTAAATCCTATTGAACAATTATTAAAGTTGCAGTAAAATCCTATGGTTTGTTTACTGCTAAAATAGATTTGACATATGCATGGTACAAGTTCAAGTCACTGATCAGGAAATAAGATTACAAATAGGACTGATGTAACAGCTGGCTTCTGATCAAAGCTTCAGGGATTTTAATACACTTACCAGAAAATACACTGCATTTCCTTATATAGTGTAGTTTTTAAGGTATTATAAACAAATCCATGTATTTATTTTCTGTAGCACAGCATTCAAAACACAACATCAAACCCAGAGAAAACTAGTCTATGTTAATGAAAGAAGTGTTATTTTCTGTCACAAGCTATTGTCTGAATAAAGTAGGTAATCTATTGATTCATTCCAACCTACAGTTCTATTGTTAATCCAAAGCAGCCTGTGCGTAAGTGCAAAGCAGTTTTGTGTGACCACAGGATGCTGCATTCCTATTATGACACAGCTCAGCGTTGAATAGGTTCCCCACCACCTTTTAAAACAAAGATCTCTGACATGGTTTGTATGGGTCCAATGGCATCATTGAGATCTTCCCCTGGTGCCCATGAAGCCTCTGAGTTTTTGCACCAACTACCCCATGATGATGGGGTGGTTATATTCTCCCCCACTTCCCCCAAAAAGGAGGTTTGAAGAGTGACATTGTTTCCAATTTCTTCTTTCAGATCTTTGGGCTAAAATCAACAAGTCCCGCTAGACGCAGTGTTTCTCAACCTGGGGGTCCCCAGATGTTGTTGGACTACAACTCCCATTATTCCTAGCCAGCATGACCAGTGGTCAGGGATGATGGGAGTTGTAGTCCAACAACATTTGGGGACCCACAGGTTGAGAACCACTGCACTAGAGGAATGGATTCCACCCCATCTCCTTATGCAACCTCCACATCCCTCCCCAAATCTGTTCTGGAGGGTCAGAAGAAAGCCCAGAGCAGGGTGCAGGGCAGGAGAGGGCAGACTGTTCCATCTGGCAAGAACAAATTCTTGCCCTGACAGAACAATTGCCTTGGCACAAGGCTGAATTCCATCTTGTGTGTTTCGTCAAGGCTAAAAAGATTAGTGAGCCTATTACGTTTTGGAACAAGTTTCAGGAGAAATATATATAAAATTTTAATACAATTTATCTGCACTGTTGTAATATGATAATTCTCATGCCATGTATCATTATCTATTTGTACAAATATCCTGTGTTTTTGTTCTCACAACCAGGGACAATAAAAATAAACAGAGGCTTTGGGTGCTTTTGGGGAGCACAGAAGGTTACAGTAAGGAAGATGGGAAGATGTGAGAGCCATTTTCCATTCACAGTACGTTGGATACAGCCCTATATTTGCTTAATGGACAAAGAAATAAGCAAAAGGATGGGGAATCAAAGTATCTTAGGCACAAATGCTACAAGCAGATATATGCTGGATACAAGTCAACTTCAAACCTAACTAGGAGGTTGTTGTAAACCAGGATCACTCATCACAACACAATGTAACTTGGATACTGTAAAAGTTAAGCTAAGCTTTGCCAAAGTCTAGATCCACCAGCACAGGAGGTGGGGGGGGGAAGAGGACCACATTAGACCAATGCTTTGCTCTGACCCATTCACATAGCACTAGACTATAAGTGTCTATCATGTTCCAGTGCAAGGGTCACACTCGCCAATTATTCTGTAATAATTGTCTTTCAAATTGTGAGCTGTGGTTTGGGGAATCCATTTTTTAAAAAATCAAACTTAAACATATCATGTAACTGATGATACTGTAACCAAGCAGTAACTTGGCTCCTTAAGCCTTCCACTGGGTTCAGTCTGGGTTCCTTCCCTGTAAGGCCCAACCATTCCCTATAGGTCACCCATTGTCTATCCATATTAACTCTCTTAATTGCAATTGCTTCAGTGGGGGATAGCCATAAAGGTGCTTTTCTTTACAGCAAGTTTTTATATTTATCCCAAACTCTATACAAATCCTTCCTAACAATCTGTTTTGTAAAACCCTTATAAACTTTAGCTTTCCCATACATACCAAAGACATGCATGCCAGCCAAATTTCGTATCATGGCTTTCCAAATCTAAAATGTCTGCATTTTCAATTCAATCCATTCCTTTAGCCAACACAAGGAAGCTGCCTCGTTGAAAGTCTGGCAGGGCAAAGCCTCCTCTTTTATATCTCTCCAATTTTTATGTTTAATTTGTGGCTTTCCCCCCTGCCAGATAAATTTAGAAATATATTTTTCCCTTCTTTGAGGCTACTTAATTTACTTAAAAACAGGATACATTGGAATAAGAACAGCAACTTAGGTAGAATTCCAGCCATCAAAATAAATGTATAACATAACAGGGAAAGTTTCATCCTTCCCCAAATCTCTAACTCCTTAATTTATTTCCACAATTTTATATTTTGAAATAAGTTGAGATTCCTCACTGTCAGCCAAGTCCTCACAATTATTTTTAATGCAGTACTAAGATTACTAACCACCCCTAACACACAAACAAACTCCAGGTTCTAGCTCACCAAGTGAAAAGAAAGTTTGCATGGAATTCAGCTCCATGTTGGGTGGAGGAACAAATTTTGATAATCTTTCCTGATCTCTCCTAAATTCAGCATGAAAGTGGTGAGACTTGTCAGTGAGTAAGAAATGTAGTCTCTTGATGTACTGGGAACAATAAGTGAATCAAAGGCAGCATTTGCCATCCACCACCTCATCACAGCCTTTCAATAAGGTTGATGGGAGGAGAGCAAAACACTGTCTCTTAATCTGCAGGGCATGTTCTGTAAATATCAACTGGCAGTGTTTCCTACCCCACCTTTTTTTTCTGTTACCAGTGCTTCTCTCAGCTACTGACTCCAAGAAGAGAGGAACTGCCTGCCAAAGAAAGAATGATCTCTGCAGTTCCTGAACGCATACTTAGGCTGTTCTTGAAGTCAGCAAGTAGGAAGGAGTAGCACTACCTATACAGAAAATACTGAAGATAGTGGTGCTAGTGGAACTTGCTAGACATAGCGGAAAAAGCCACCGCCTAGCACAACTGTTTCTTCCAACTACACTGGGATAGGTATCATTTATTTTAAAATATTTATAGGCCACTTTTTCTGAGTCAAACTATCAAGAAAGCTTAATGTAATAACAATTTAAAATTACAGCTTCAACAATAAAACGATGGAATAAGAAACACAAATGCAATTTCTACAAATTGCCCATAACTTCAATAAAACATCAATACTAAAATTCTAACATTCCTACAATATAAAACACAATTCCAGCCAAGCCATTAGCTAAAAGAAGCACCTTAAAAATATCCATAATTGCATTGCCCTCATCAAGACCGGTGGCTGCATTTTGAGCCAGCTCAAACAATAGCAGCACACAGGAACAAAACAAACAAACACACTTAAAGCTTTTGCAATTAAAGTTTTCCCCCAGGAAATACTTATTTCCCCCTCCTTGAAAAGCACTACTATTGACCAGAAAATTGAGCCACCACTTTATGTGGTCCTCCTTCGTAAGTACGATATGGCAAGATGTAAATACTATAAATATTCCCAATTTGCCATGAATTCATGATCTTTTAACTGTATTGCTATGTGAAAAACTGACAGAGCACAGGTTTAATCATTAGCAGAAAAGAAAAATATGCCACTTGCCAGCAGGGAAAAATGAGCAGGGCTGGAGTGGCAGCAACACATTTCCAGTGATGGTGCTGCACTCCCCAGGATACGTAAAGCAGTGATGAAGTCAGGGGAGCTCCAGGTGGCACTGCTGCCAACTTAGAGCTCCCCCAACCTTACCCCACTGCCACTCCATGCTCCATCATCTGCCACTGCCGCTATTTACCCTATGCAATCTAGGTAACAGTAAAAGACATACTTAAATGGGCCAAACAAAAACATTCTCCAAGTCACCAGTCAAGACATACAAATTTGAATTTGATACTGTGTTAAATCAACAGCGTTACCTAGTTTGGGTTCCTACCTACATGTATTTTTAAATGACAAAAAGCATACAGAAGTTGTGTGCATAAATTGCACTTAACTGTGTGCATGTAACTACAGAAATTTAAGTAATAGTCAACCCTAATGGTCCTGATAACACCTTCAATTTCCAGTGGTTGAATTAGATTTGGAGATCCATGACAAATGAAAAAAACAAAAACATCATTGCTGATGACCAGAGAGCTTTTGAATCATGCCAGTTGTAATAAATGGGATTCTACTTCTGCTGCAGAGCTAACAAAGGGACTTCATGGGAGAATAGCATGCAGCTCTCCTTATGGACACAGCAGTAGTGAGATGTTACAGTTGTGGGGTGACGGCAGGCAATATCAACATACTTCACTTGTGCCTTGGCATGAGCTGCTGACATAAGGGATGCTTACCAAAAATAAAAAAAATACACCCCACTCAAGTTTATGTCAAGATTGTGGAGTCTGGATTACCTGATTTTGTTTGCAGAGTTCATCTGATGATCCTCCTTTTGTTTCTTTTTCTGGACTTGGTTCAGACGGCTGAGCATGGACAATCTGCCACTTTTCAGTTTATGTCTTTTTCCTTCTTGGAGGCTACTGATGTGTTCATGCACTGTTTTAGTAGATGTACATATGCCCTCAAATACCTCAGTAATCTGTAAGAGAAGAAAGAAAAAAAGATGTTGTAAATTATGCAGTTTAGAATTTTAAGCGTTTACAGTGGTACCTCGGGTTACAGACGCTTCAGGTTATAGACGCTTCAGGTTACAGACCCCGCTAACCCAGAAATAGTACCTCAGGTTAAGAACTTTGCTTCAGGATGAGAACAGAAATCGTGCTCCCGCGGCGCGGCGGCAGCGGGAGGCCCCATTAGCTAAAGTGGTGCCTCCTATTAAGCAATGATATACTGATACCAACTTCACTCTCACCCTGAACCTCAGAGGAAGAGGACTGGTGCACAAAGACAAATCATAGATTAATGGAATATAAATTGTAAGCGAACACAAAATGAGAGAGGATATAACTTTGATACTGCTTATATAATGTGGAAGTTAAGGCATGAGCCTAAATGATAACGTTCTGATTTTTGGTGCATCAGTGAATTTGTAAAGAGTAATAACCCTTGTTTAAAATGGATGGTTTTTAAAAATCTTAGAATGTTTCTTTATTTGATATTTTCTTTCATTGCACGTCTATTTCCCGCCAGCAGAGGACCACTAGATGGATATGGATAGGTGAGACTGTGAAGTATCTGCAGTCCAAAAAAGAATGGACTGTAGGGCTCAGGGAATAGGGTATAGCATGCAGTGCAAGTCTAAATACAGAGTGTGCCTACAAATATTGTGGGATTCCAAAATAAACCTATGTTCACCCGCAGGGCTTTGGTAGACAGCCAATAATCTGCTCTAGCAGTGGTCTGGAGTAGAGTCCACCATGACCTGAAATAATCTCTACCTCCCCAAAGGAGCTCTGTTTCTGAGATGTATGCTCCAGCTGGGCTGTGGTATGTTTTGTAGCCTCTTAGCCTCTTGTACTGGTGTACTGGTAATGCCTGGCAATTGCTTTCTTTCCCTACTTTTTATTCCTGCAAAGCTGACATGAATCAAGACCTCATCTTAAAAATTCCTTAATTTTTAGGGTAGGGTTGGCTGCTTGAAGGTATTAGTGGAATCTTTTAAGTTTTGCTTGGCATGCAAGTTAAGATAAACCACATTCTTATACTAATTACATATATAATTATGTGCTCTTCTTTAAAAGCAATTGCATACAGTTACAAAGAAATTTCTTCATTATCCCATGTTACGTAGGAGGTATTGCAGAGGTACAAAGAAGGTTCTAATTGGCACTTTCTGTATCAAGGTATCTTCAGCTGGGATGTTTATTGGAGCATTGAATGGAATGTGTGCAGTTTGAGATTACTTGAACTTACAGACATGCAACACTGGCAAAACAGAAATATTAAACCAACAAAGAGCACTGGACACAGAAACAATTCTCATTCAGAATATATTTTCATTTTCTTAAAGTAATCTACGACTAGTTGAATATACAGAATTGGCATATATGTGGCAATATTCGTGGAGTAGACCCTCTGAAATAAATGGACTTAATTACACTGATTTCCCTGGGTCTACTCTGAGAATGATAAGTCAATCACCCCAAATATTTCCAGAATTTTTTAAGCAGTTATTTTTAAAAAAGAAAGCAGCCAACCCTACTCATGGCTGGCATGCTGTCTCTATTCCCCAAATGATAGATACTAATTAGCACTAATTGACAACCTGGTTTGCTTTCTCGGGAAAGCCAGGTCAAAGATTAAATAGGGATGGAGAAGAACTATTATGTGAGCCATAGTTTATAAATGTGACAAAGATCAATCCCCGAGACAAAAACGTGAGAAGTCTAAAGTTCCTAACCACTATCTGGAAGAATAGCTCATTAATGATGTAAAATATTGTGTTTTTCCATCTAAATTCAAAACAGAATTTAGAAAGAATCAACCTACACCTTGTCTAAATAATTTAGAGAAAGATATAAATTACAGTAAAAGTAGTTGAAGTTGTAGGAAATCCTTCATTTTTACCCTATTGGAGGACATCCCTTTAAATTTAGTAAGAAGGAGAACTTTACCCAGTGCTAAATCAAGTGTCTGTAACTTTATCTGAGAGACCACTTCCCCCTATATTTAGGCTTTGAAATGATCCATCTCCTAAAAGAATCAAGGTCAGAATACTCAGTACTCAGCTTAAGCAGTCCAACAAAGATAAATGTTCTCTATTTTACTGTGCTTCCTTCAATGTCATCATGACTATACACTTTGTAACCCAGGTCCATTACCAGAGGATTATCTTATCTTTTTTCTTCTGAAACACCAGCCTGTTTTCACTGGTTTAACCTTTGTTCTTTAACAGGAGACAGGTGCTTAAGGTTTATTTTTGGTGAATTCTAAGGTAATATTCAACCAACTTTTGGTCAGAGTAGACTCACTGAAATTAATGAACATGGCTAGGTTAGGCCCATTAATTTGAACAGGTCTACTTCAGAAGGGCAGGGTATAAATCATAAAATTGTGTGAACTCTGCAACACTCTGGACCTTTGTCTCTCAAGTGAAAATTGACTTGATTATGGAAGTCTGGAGTCTGAATATAACAATGGAAAAAGCTGGGGGCGAAACATCATATTTCTTTTGTAGTTTACATACAATTTAACCTTAAGGTTGTATCCAGTGGTGTCCCTTGCACTGAAGGAAAGCCCAAACTGTAACCTGAACAAGAAGAGAAGGGATGCTGATTCCGTCTTCCTCCTTGGGACAACCTAGTATGCAGTTCTGAAGAGTTCATCAACCCTTTAGAGTAGACCTTGGAAGTATACAGGAGGCTGAATCCAGAGAAGATTCAAGATCTTAAAGAGTGAATCAGCTAATATTACCTCCCTGACCACTCTGCTGATGGAAGCCTCATCTGAATCAAAGGCCGTTCCATCACTGTAAGAGGTATCAATGAATGAAACCCTTGATTTTGTTTATTTTTCATTTTTGTTCCACATTTTAACCAAAGGAATGTTACCACCATAAGACATTAAAAAGATTTAAAACACACCAAATACTGCAATACTAATGCCACAACCAGAACAAAGTACTATAAATTAGTAGTATAAATAATGGAATTCCTTCAGCAACTTTTCCAACTCCACAACTAAGGGCTAAAAATGTGTTATGTAGCAAATCCAGTATCGGATTTCCTGATGTTCTTTCCTCTAACTTTTAAAGAAGCTGTGGGGGCTCCAATTTTCACTCAATCAGTGGCACTAAGGAAGGGGGGCATATCCTCCACCTCCATATTTTTCTCTCTAAATTACTACCCCCAAATCTGTTATTAAACCAGTAGTGGGGAAAAATACATGTATCAGTACTGTGCCTACATTTTCTCCACTGGTGAGCTAATAGCAGCTTCAGGAAGAGAGAGTTGATTTTGATAAGGAAAATCATGTGGGAGTTGGGAAGGAGGGGAAAAAAATCACTTCTTTCCTTTTATGAACAAAATTAGAGCCCCTGTGATTGCTTTCAAATGGGGAATGGGAGAAATCACAAATTTGCTGTGTTACATTTGTTTCAGCCCTAAGACCTAGAGCAAACTCTGATGTTTTTAATATGGTCAAAGATGAGAGAGAACCTTGGCTTGTATAAACCACGGGCTAGGCTAGGGGTCAGCAAACTATTTCAGCAGGGGGCCGGTCCACTGTCCCTTAGACCTTGTGGGGGCCGGACTATATTTTTTTTTTGGGGGGGGGGTAAATGAATGAATTCCTATGTCCCACAAATAACCCAGAGATGCATTTTAAATAAAAGCACACATTCTACTCATGTAAAAACATGCTGATTCCCGGACCGTCTGCAGGCCAGATTTAGAAGGCGATTGGGCTGGATCTGGCCCCTGGGCCTTAGTTTGCCTACCCATGGGCTAGGCTCTAATGCAACCCTTTACCATTGTCTTGGCTAATGGTAAGGATAACAATTCATGCTAGATAGTGGTGAGGAGCCAGAGGAAAATAACATGAATCCCAGAACCCACTTTCACTTAGCAGTGCTTAATTACATCTGTACTGAGCATTAAGAAAAGAATAAGTGAAAAAGCTGTGAAAGCTGTGTCAAAAACCATTGACCAATCTAACAAAATCTCTACCCATGGTATAACAAATGAGAATTTTCAAATTACATACTAATTTGCTATCAATATATTAATTTTTCTGAGGAAAAAATTCACTGGTAGATATCAACAAATAATGCAAATTCTATGACAACAGAAGGAGGACAATCTGGTTAGTGTAATCTCACATAGACTGTTCAAGAAGCAAGCTGAGCAGCTTGGGGAAAGGGGGAATAACAACAGCACCAGAAATGTGGTAGCTAAAGAAAGAGGGCAGGGTAGTGCCAATGGGTTTTGAAAACCTGAGCAGATAGGTGGAAAAAGTGGTTTAAAGCACAGAAGGGCAGGGCTTGTTCATTTTAACTGCTTAACATTGCTTTTCCAAAAGCTCAAAAACATCCACAGAATCAGTACAATAACAATTAACAAAACAGGCCAGAAACAAAACAAATCTACCCAGAGTTTATCAATATAGAAGTTTCATCCCCCCTCTGAAATTCTAACTTGCATGTAAACTTCAGTATTTCCTCAGGCAACTACTTTCTTCCTAGCTGTTGATATCTATACTCAATAAAAGGATATAGCAGTTAGTAATATTAACAGGAGAGGCATCAACTGAAGATAGGCTACCAGGTATTAGTCCCAGGTCATGAAAGCCTTTAAAAGTTAACTCCAGCATCTTGAATTGAACCTGAAATAGTGACTAGTGTAACTGATACAGGTGCACAGCAGAATTCTGGACCAGTTGAAACTTCAAGGTTCTCAAGACCAGTCTCATGTAGAATGTACTTTAACAGGGAAGCTTAGCACTTGAGCGTGGATCACTGTAGTGACAGGTAATCTATCCATAAGAGGTGACAGCCTATGAACCAAGTACATATGGAAAAAAGTGACTCTGAGCAATAGCACTAACATTCTTTAAAGCTCCCCCAAGCTGCTTATCTGTTCTGTTCAGGATACCATCCTATTACAAGCAAGCAAATACTCTCTATGCTAGGAATTTCTCTAACTAATATCATCTCCATCTTTGTCAGCCAGTCAATGTTTTATTGGGTTTGAAATTGTTTTTAATTGTTTTTATACATGCAATTTTTAATAATTTTTTTTTACTGTATTGCAAAATTGCTTTGAGATGCTTCATAGGAAGCTATTTATAAATGAGATAAATAAATAGTTCAATCTTTCACATTAATCATGTTAATGGGACTTTCATTCTGTTCTAGCTTAACTTCTGACTTGCCAGGAAAGCACAAATGTTACCCATTCCTTAAGTCCTCCTAACCATGAAAAATGATGCAAGAGATACTTAGATTCAAATTTCCATTTTTTAAAAATATTTTCTTAAATAAATGACTAGTATTGTTTCCAAGCTATCTGTTGTTGCCCTGTTGCCATAAGTGGAAATTTTGATCACATTACAAACTTGGTCCTTTTAAATAAATCTAGTTGTTTGATGTGTATCTCCAGCAACAAATCTGCTATTAGAGGGCATGATTACAGTTTCCATGATCTTGCCCCTAACCTCCAAAGTTGTAGTGACAGTTTAAAAATTCTCCTAAACTCTCATAGTTCCACCAATGGCATCTGTGTGTGGCCAAGACTGCTTTTATCAGCTAATTCACAGACTATTAAGAACAGAACACAAGAACCTTAGAAGTACAAACTACCTCAGAAGGTGCTGGACTGTCGTTCCTTGGACGCCCATCTGTCATGGATGCTTCAGTTGAGACTCCTGCATTGCAGGGAGTTGGACTAGATGACCCTCAGGGTCCCTTCCAGTTTTACAGTTCTATGATTCTATGAAGAGCTTGCTGGATCAGGCCAATGGCTCATCTAGCCCAGCATCCTGTTCTCACAGTGGCCAACCAGATGTCTGTGGGAAACTGAACCCAAGCACATAAACACTCTCTTCTACTGAATACAATTGTCTGCCTTCTTATACATATTAGATCTACCCTTACGCAGCTGTAGTGGATCTCTGTCCTATAAGGCATTTAATAAACCTCTCGTGCAATACTTAGTCCTATTCACACAGTAAAGGAAAATTTAGGGAGGGTAAAGTGTGCAGAGGATACACATGCCAGTCCTGTTAACACGAACCTTTAATCACATGCAAAACATTATGACAATCATATATAATTTCATAGTATCGTAAGTTGTAGAGGTGGAGGGTACCACAAGGATCATCTAGTTCAACCCCCTGCAGTGCAGGAATCACAACTCATTTGTATTATACAAATATCTCGAAGTGACTTGCAAAATATCAAAATACACAGAATGGAATATTTAAAACAAAACACAATATTAAAGTAATTAAAGCATAAAACAGTTCCTCTATCCCCTTTCAAAACAACAACACATCAGTCTGACCACCAAAGAACAATCTCCCCCAAAACAAACAAAAATACCACAAACTGCTGCAAATAAAACTAAGATACCTGGGAGAATGCAGACATCTTTGTCTGGTGCCCAAAACATGTCACAGTTGGTGTCCAATGAACCTCCCTGAGGAGGGCATTCCATAAAAAGGGGGCCACTAGTGAAAAGGCACGTCCTCCTGTTGTCACCGTACAAACTGCTGCCGGAGGGGCACACAGAGAGGTTGCCACCAATGTTGAGCTTAGGGTCCAGGCAGGCTACTATGGGGAAAGCATTCCATAAGGCATCATATCCCTAGTCATGTAAAACTTTATTGTCCAAGACTGAGAAATCAACTGGCAGTTGTATCAGAATTGGTTTGGTATATTCAGACCATGTGGTCCTTGTTTATAAACTAAATTCTAACCTAACCTAACCTAAATTATGAACTGTAAAGGAAGTCACATGCATAACTCACTACAGTATTCCCGCCACATGTTTAGCACGACATAGACAACTGAGGCCAGTTCACCTGCATCCAGATAGAGCCACAGCTGGTCAACCAACCAAAACTGGTAGAAGGCATATCTGTAATATGGAGGCCACTTGTGTTCCAATGTCAAAGATGAATCAAAGCTGCATAGCTGAACCTTCACGAGTGCCACCCCATATAGAACAGGCTGCACACTACTTATCTGAACCAAGGCACTTACTGTCTCTATCTTGTCTGGATTGAGTTTCAATTTATTGGGCTCATCCAGCCCATTACCACAGCTAGACACTGGTTCAGAACATAATCTGCACTCCCAGTTCTGACAACTGCTCCAGAAGCATGCCACAGACAATATCAAAAGCTGCTGAGAGATCAAGGAGAATCAACACAGTCTCATTCCCACTGGTTCTATCCAAGGCTATCTCAGGGCCATAACCAGGTCTGTATAAAATGGATCCCAAAAATGCTTGGGTCTCTTTTGTGACCGCCCACTCAAGAATCTTGCCCAGGAAGAGGTCAATATTTATTCAGCTCTTCTGGGTTCATGGGATGCTCTTTTTTTAGGAGTGGCTCATTTAGGAGGCCCACACACCCCTATGCCTACTTCGGTTAGGTTCATCATCTCCCTGGCCCAATCCTACCAGATTTAATAAGCCATAAGGAGCAAGGAGCAATTACAGTTTAAATGCAATTCTATGTGTGTCCTCAAGAGAGATGTGTTTTTCAAGAACCTAGAGTTCTGGCACAGTAATAGACACATTGACTTGCGTACTAATTACAAGGACAAAACAATATTATACTGTAGATGCAGTACAAAGCTTTACATTTTATTACAAAATAAATAAATACTTTGTATATGCAGGTATATGCAGGACCTGACATCTTTCCGCAAGGCCTGCAAGACAGAGTTGTTCCACCAGGCCTTTGGTCAGGGCCCAGCCTGACTCCCTCCTCTGGCAACCTGCACAGAATTTTGCTCAACGGTTGCCATTAATTTGATTTTAATTAATTTTTATAATGAAATGTTTTTAGAATGTTGGATTATTTGATTGTTTGATTATTTGATTGTTGTTAGCCGCCCTGAGCCCGGCTTCAGCTGGGGAGGGCGGGATATAAATAAAATTTATTATTATTATTATTATTATTATTATTATTATTATTATTATTTACAAAGGCTTGATAAATCCTACCCTTTATGAACCAACAGCTTAGCTTGATAAGTTCTATAGAATGAAAAATATCCAGACTGAGGTACGGAAAGTTAGTCTGTACACTTGAGGACAGACGAGGGGTGTTAGGGATCTGACAGATTGAAGTAGAGATCCAAGTGCAATGGACAGGTCAAAAGTAGAGCTTGCAGCATAAGCATGTACATACAGCCATGACCCCTACACACACACACCAGATTTTTTGAGTACCTTAATAGGGCTCTTTATTTTATTTTATTTTTTTAAAAAGTTGTGTATATGTGTTAAGAGTGCAATGAAGCACTTATCCAAAATTAACTACAAAAAAACTGCATACTGATGGAAGAATACTAATTTGAAAAATTCCTGGAGGCTACAAGATCCATTGGAAGGTGTGTTTGATGGGTGAAAAGCAAAATAAATGGAAGGAACTGGGAAGTGGAAAGTATTTGGAAGTAAAATTAAGAGGTATGCTTCCTGTTGCATTCTTAAGATTGTATAACATTATGTACTACCAACCCACAGTAAATGGCCTATTCCAAATCACTGTTTTGGATATGCTTCCTAATAGAAAGAAATTAATGCCCCAAATCGTATTTTAAAATTATGACAAGAAGAAATACAGATATAAATATATCTGACTGACACAAGATTATCTCTAATCAAAATGTTCAAAATCTGTGATACTCCCAGTATTCCTATGGTCTGATAGAAATTAAGGTATGTTTCACAAATAAATAATGATTCCCTATAAAATATTATAGGAGGTAGTTGCCAACAACTAAACACAAGTCAGAATATTCTTAGAGTTTTGAAGTGGATTTAATGACTTTTGCTCCTTTTGCTTTTCCCCCTAGCAGATTAAATTGTATTTAAAAGAAAGTTAAGCTCAGTCCAGTACAATTTTATTTGTATGTTTGGGCAATAAATAAATCGCAAAAAAACACCCAATAATTGGTTCAAAACAATGCAACACTTATTACGTCCAACAAAAAGTTATTAATTCATTTACTTATATTTAATGGGTACTGGGTAGCTCACAGAAAATTAAAATAATGACATACAATATTAAAAATGCAATTTGAAACAGTAAAAGTAGCATAAATGTTCATTCTTTCTGGCAGATAATAAATATTGGCATGGCAACTATCTTCTAACGTACAAGTTTTGCTGCATTTACCTGGACACTTATTTGAAAGCAAATCCCATTAAACCCAGCAAGGTTTTCTTCCAAGTGAACATGGATAGAATCATGCTGTTGGTTTTATTTTTGATAGCTTTGTCATTTTTCAAGTAACTACTCATTTATTTCTATTGCATGTATTGCTTTCAGTTGACAACTTGTGCACCACAGAAACAGAGATTTAAACAACAAATTACATTACTTTGAAGTTGAGCATAATTTATTTGTTATTTATGTATAAGAAAACACATTATAATGGCTTGTCCACACTTCTGATACTTACATTGTTAATGGGTTTTTATACTGAGTAATTTTTAGCTATTCACACAATTACAAATCAAATCTGATTCTAAACTCAAATATGCCCTTATTACAATAATCACTGTACATCTATAAAACATTAGCTTGAATGCAGAAGGCCATATGGTACATCATAACAGATCTTTGCCTATAGCTTTCAGCAATCAATACTTCATTTTCATACATTGTATTCAAGCTAAACCTCTTAATATCCATGTCAGTTTTGCCATTTACTCCTAATATCTTAAATGTTTCTGCAGATCTTTAGAGATGGGATTGCATTTCCTTGTGAAGCTATTGCTTGGGTTCTCTATCAGATTGAGATGCATTACACAAGCTTGCCACCTGTCCCTCATCTTAACTGCCTGTGATTTTCTGTATTATCAGGTTTGAAATGATTTAAATGTTTTAACGGAGCCAAAAGCAAATATCCAAATAATTACAAACACAACTTCAGCAATGTCAACAATGGAGTACTCTACAGAGATCACTATGAAACAGTCTGAATCTTTATTAATAGAGTGCTGTGCACTTCCTGTCACACAGATAACTGAGATCAGCATAGGACTCAGGAAAAAACACACACAAATGTATTAACTGATGAGATTTATAGCTGACTCGTTGGAAGAATGGGCACTACAGCATTTTCTTTATAGAATTACAGGAAATTATGGCAAATTAAAGTTAAAACAAATTTTAATTTTCATCATCTACATTTTACATCTACCTAGAGAGAGCATATTTTAATGTAAAAAAAACTCTTTAGCATATTAAAGCATGCAGCATCTACCATTTGTGAGCATCTTTCCCTTAATTTCATTCTCTGAGCAGCAGTGTGCAGTAGCAGTGCAGTGAAAGGCAGAAAATGTTAACTTGATAACAAAACCATGTTCACAAACAAATATTTCTCCTATTCCTCTGGTTGTTCAGAACTTACAAAATTACTTGTCATTCCATCCATCTCTGCATGTTGCAAAACACTGACATACATTTTTGTTAGCATTCCATTTATGCTACTACTGGAATATACAGGAAAAAACGTGCCTCATTACAACTGGCTACATAGTTTACTGTAGTGAACAAAGATACACCCTCTCATACTTTTCCATTCCTTTATTTCATTCCTTTACCATATAGCCATGTGCCAAAGAAAGAGCTTGATGCTAAACATTCCTGGAGTGTGACAATAGGTAATACAATAAAACAGATTACAACCATACCTTTCTTTCACAGCAGTGGTGCCAAGCACAGGTACACTGTAGCAATCAATTTGTTCTGCAGACAGTAAGGCTTTCATAGAATACTAATGCAAAATCTCTTTTCTTTCTCCTTCGACTTTACTCCCCAATGCCTGGGTCCCAACCAATACCAGGAGGAGGGCGGAATGTCTTCTGCTGAGATAACCACAACTACTAATCAAGTATACGTGTACAAGGGCACAGGATTAAGCCTCCACCAAGCTTGACTCAGCCACTGAGAGTAGCTAAACACATGCACAGCAAGGTCAGAAAACACACACCTACTTGAGTGAACTAATTCATCATACTTTACTATTGATGGCTTTTTACCTCGGGGAATTAAAATTACTTCCTAGCGAGATGCGAGGATTTGGGCACAGGAGCAGCCAACACTAATTCTCTTTTCACCAAAATGACAGGCGGCGAAGTGTGTTTTCTGTGCAGAAAGGTTGACAGTTTTGAACCTAAAAAGTATTAGTAATTCCAGAAAAGCATAAATTAAATGAAAGTATGCTCCTAACATTAGAACTGACGTTAACAGATTTCAGAAGAAAATTTTTGAAGGAAGGAAAAACAGAACAAAACACGCCAACTGTCAATTGCCAATTGTTATAAATATTATAAATATTTAATATTGTCTAAAATTAGAAATGTCAAACGTTCTGTCATTCAGCCTGGTGTTTATCAGCATGGAACAAAGTTTAAAACACTTGTAAAATCATCACCTTTACAAGCATGTTTATTGTAAATAATTAGAAGCTGGGTTTTGCTTTTTTGTTTTTCTTTTGGCCTGCCAAAGTTGGGATAGTGTGCTTTGATTCTTCACAACAGTTGATATCACTTGAATATTTACACATTATATAGATTCACCAAATCACTTATATGTAGCCTCTTTTCTGTTATCCATAAAGTTATAATAAATCACTAGATATGTGTAATGTTGGCTATACATTTGTAAACTGGAATTTAACGTTAAAATATTCAGCAGCAACTGGATACCTGGAATTTGTCAAAAGCTCTTATCAGAAACTGTAGTATTTCCTAGGCAGTAAGATTGAGAATCTGACTCATTATCAACAGAGCTTTATTACATGTGTGATCTGCATGCAGAAAAAAAGGGGGGGGAAACCCTCATATCATTTGGCATTTCATCTCCTGTAAACTGGCAAAATACTTTTGAAGTATCAGTGCTTTCGGTGACAAATCATAAAGGCAGAAGCAAAATCAATACTGATCAGTTTGTCCTTGACATAATGACCGTGTCATCAGGCTATTGTCATGTGATATCATGTCATTTCCCCCACCTGGCTCATGACCTTGTCCTTTAAATGACCCAAAGCTTCCCTGAAGTAGCAGGAGGCCCCTCCCCGCTGTCTCAGCAAGGTCGAATGGGTCAGCATGTCCTCATCTATAATCCACCACCATTTGTCAGCAGGGAGGCTGGAGGAGGCAGGCTCGCTACAAGGGGAGAATGCCCAATTAGGCAGCTGTCACACAAAGCATAGGCTGCAAAATTATCCCCTGTCAAAAGATAGAGCAGCTGCGGGTGCCAATTACAGCAACCTTTCAACCCTTTAGGTACTGGAAACTACACAGAAGTAAATGAAGTACAATTAGTGGTAACAAATCGATGAATTAGGACAGTAAATTATAAATTATTAGCAGGTGAGCCTAGGTCTCACATACTATTAAGGGCATTCTACACCTCAGGCAAGGGCAAGAAGGTACAGATTTCACACTGCCTATCTGCTATCATGTTATACATTTTCTTGCTCTGAAACTCCATCATTTTCTTCAAATGTGCCTGCTGCTAGAAAGGAAGCAGAAAGTGGGGAGGGGAGGGACGATAAGAGAGCTTGGACTATCAAATACTTAGTTTCAAATCACATACAGAGGTCCTATTCACCAAAACGCAAATTATCTATTACTGCATTGTACCACAAAAACAAACCATGATACAGGTCAAAAAATGTTCAGTGCACTATGGGTTGGGATCCAAGGAACTTTGGGCTTTTGCTTCTGAAACAGAAGCAATGTTACTTGGCAGACTGACAACTAAACTGCCACTGGCATCAATGAGAAAGGAGGGTAATTCTCTCAAGTCCTCTCTTGTGTGGATTCTAACTGCCATCTCAGGGGAGGACTGTGTGTCAGGAGCTGTCCTGTCCTCCTGACTTAAACATCATCACCTACTCCTGGACAGACTGCCTCCAGGGAGGCACTGCTCTTTATCAATCAAGGGCAAGGCATTCACAACCCTAAGAACTTGTTTGCTTGAGCTTGCTTTTTCCTCCTCCCTCCCATTCTTTTTCCCCTCGTGTGTCATGTCTTTTTAAATTGTGAGCCTGAGTGCAGGCACCATTTTAGTACAGGTTTTTGGAAACTGCTGAGAACCTTTCTTTCTTTCTTGCCAAGGGGCAGAGCAGAAGTGTATTTAAGAAAGAAATAATAAACACCTTAAAAAAATTAAAGGAACTTTCAATAGCAGTTAGCAGTAAGGCCTGAGGCCTGCTATTCAATGAATATAGTCAACAATCTCTTGGTGTACCAAACCCTTTGAAAGCTCATCAATTCCACCAACCTATTAAAATTTCTTAAGTTAACTAGCACTTAAGTTAGTTGTCTTTTAAATTAGAGTGTACTGTTAACTCCATTTTGTTTCATATTCCAAGTATAGAAAAGCCTGCAGGCCTTCAGTCACGACTGGGGGGGGGGGGGAATATTATTGTGAATGAATAAAAAGCAACTAAAACCTTAGGAACATCTTTAAGCCTACAGTTAAACAATTATACAGATACATAAAAGTAGGTACCCAATCACCTCTACCAGCAGTAAACTATTTTAGTGGTTTGCTAGACAAAAGCACTGCTGGGAGCTGCATGGCAATGCAGATGTGAGAGGATTTCTCATTCTTACCTTTAGGTACCAGGAGGAGGTGGTAGTGATGCAGAATACTACAACCAACATCATGGAAGTGTCCGGTTGCAGAGTGGATAGTTGTCCCTGCTGGTGTCAGCAAGCTTGCCTTGCCCAGACCAGACAAATCACAAATCACTCTATAAATGTGCATTTACACAGCGCTGGGTGTGGCATGACTCACAGCAAGAACTCCCCTCTCTCCAATATTGCCATGCGTGGTGATTTCAACTAGTGAGCCATCTCACTAGCTGCCATGCCACAACCATCATCTCCTACAATAGTATACATCTTCATTTAACAAGCTGCTTTCATAGTCTTCCTTTACAACTCAATTCTCTTCTAATAATCACTTCTGTGAGAGCTTCTCTGCCTTAAAGTCTCTAGTATATCACTCTAAATAAAGCACTACAATATGCAACCCAAGCATGAAATCTAACCGTTACAACTCTGACAACATTTCCCTATTAATTTTAAATCAGTCATAAAGTGTTATGCTGACCTATCCCGTGATACCTATTTCCAAGAAAATGAATATATATAGTTTCCTAGCCAAATGCATTTTTAAAAGGAGGAAGATGTGGTGATAAGGAAGAAATAAATCAAAAGAAAAGAAAAATAATGCAATATGGTATAATAGATAAAACGGTTGAGAATTGTATACTGGGCCCGTAATGGACCATCATATACATTCGGCTTTATTGCACTTTCTGTTACACTTTGTTTCTTCTTACCCATCTGCCAAGGATGTTGTGCACTTAAAAGTTAAGATTTGCAAACTACAGTTCTCTTCCTCTTTAAGCACCTTCTATCCCCTACCTTGATTTCTATATGACTCTTCCATTGTGATTTTCTCAGTACACAAAATATTGACTGAAATTTCTTCAAGCAACAATCTTCTCATATATGAAATGGCTGGACTTCGAACAGCAATAAAGTAAATCACAACTATCTCATAAGCAGTACAGTATTTTCCTTGTTCTATAGGATTCTAATAACCGTCCCTTGGAAAATTCTTTTGAATTTTCACAGTTCAGATGTAGTGGGCCATGACAACTGGAGACTTTGCTGTAAATATGAGCAACATATCCACTATGGTTCTAAACACAGTTAATCAAGGTTTGACACATCTTTGGAAGAACCGTATGTAAACTTACAATGAAGGGGTTAATGTCTTTAGAATTCTTTCCCCATCATACTTCGGTAACTATCTCTTTAAATAATTTAAATCCTCTCCATCAACTACAAAGCTGTTTTGAAGCCATTTAGCTTTGTTCTTTACATGTGTTCTAATTAAGAAATGACCTTGACATCACACACACCAGAAATCCTGGATTATTTCCTACAGCAAAATCTAGGAAGGAAAAAAAAGGAAAGAAATAAAAGGGAGGGAGGGAATCGCACCCTGTATCTCTTTTAGTAAGGAACCGAGGAAGTTGTTGGTTGGCTGAATGCTGAAGCAGTTTCACTGCATCATTTCCCCCCCTGTTGTTGTTGTAGAATGTCACAGGGCGGGTTAGTGTGACCTTGAGCTGCATCAGCGGCACAGCAAGGGTCGAGATGCCTGCAGGCGCCCTTGTACTGGATTTGCAAGACAAAAACCTTCAAACTGGCTGAAGGACATCTTAAATCTCTTCAAAGGTTTTCTGAACTAATCTAGGCTGCTCTTAGCCGGATCTGTGCCAGGCTGAGAGGCAAAATTAAAAACAAGGTCTCTGACAGGATGCTGTCTCCTTTTAACCCTTCTCATGCAAAAGGCAGCATGTCTTGGGGATTCCAAAAATACAGTTTAATAAGCAATAGAGAAGCACACATTTGACATACAAAAGCAGCATTCTTTCATAAAAGATTATATAAGCAACCTTTTAACAAAAGACTGGCACTTCTATTAATACTGAATATGCAGCAGCTTCATTGCACAACATTTAGTTTCCTCTTTCTTAAAACACAAATTGTGTCATTATTCCTCTGGGTTTCTTTCCACAGAATGCTACAATGGCAGACTTAGGTTATTGGTCAGAGGAACTGACAGTTCAGCATATTCCTTGTAAATTTGTTAGTCAGTTTGTCTGAAATGCCATGACTCTGTTGAACATTTGAGATATCAGAATGAAACTTGCTGTACAAGTCCAGGTCATGAAGTCTGAACACTAGCTCCATTTTCAAGGAGGATTGCGGGGGGGGGGGGCATGATGACATCGACAAAGCAATTCACAGGTTGACAAAGCGTAGCTAGGCTTCATAGGTAATAATTCCTCTTTCTTTCTAATATCTAGTGAGTCTTGCCTTCTTGATTCCAGAAGAAAAACAGATATCTCCCTTTGACACTTGCTGTCCAGTTAACAGTTTTACAGCAGAAGAGCAGAGAGTGAGGTGGGTGGATGGGTGTGTTTAGCATACCCTCCCATCCAACTCAACCCAACCCAAGGTACAGCTTGGAATCACAATGCACAGCTTGAAGAAAAGCAGACTCTTTCTCCTGGCACTCCTAATGCCTTTGCAAATATATTATTCCTATGGTAGTGTATATTACTTTCCCTATTTCAGAATGAAAAGACATGGTCACCACTGGTGCCCTGTAACCACATTTAGGGATCCCTGCTGACATCTTCCTGAACAATTGCAATAATGCAAAAAAAAAAAAAAAAGTCTGTATGAAGGCTCAGAACAATGCTCTGTGTCACAGAGAAACATGATGCCCATTTTTAAGGGGTGCTTGTGCAATGTCTCACTTGAAGATTCAGCTATCAGAATAAAAGTTGGTGAACATATTCAGGACATAATTATATATTTAATGCACACCCACTTTCCTTTTCAAGAGTGCTAGGAGTGACTGAGACATTTACAACACTGTGCTTTATTAGAATAGGCCTGATCCTACACATCTTAAAGAAAAGTGCACAGGACCCCTTGTCTAATGGGATTAGGCCTTATGTGAGCATGTAGGGCAATCAGAACTTCATCATGAAAAATATGTGACAGCTATCAAAGGAGATGGGAATGTGTATGAAATACAAAGGCATATAATATGGTTTATTTTGTATGCTTTGTGAGCAGTAGACAAAGAGAACCTGCTGATAAGTACAGTTTATCACACCCTCTTCCATCAGAGACCCCACTGATTTAGGTATATTAGGAACAAAGTCTGATTCAAAACTACAAGCAGACATGCCATACTCCTATGCCTAAAGAACAGAAATGAACTGGTTTCTTGATACAAATAAACAATATTCCCAAGAGAAGCATCACATATATCCTTAAGATTGTTTCAGCGGTGGTGTGCTGGCTCAGAATAAGCCAGACAGCTTATTCTGGGCCAGCACACAATGGGCAGAAAACAGCATTACAGAAGTTTCACGTCACAATGGACAATGAAATCATAACAAGGCCTTTTTAAAGCTCAAAACTACACTTTGCCCACTGAGGTCCAGAGACATTTCAGTGCTCAGGAGTAGCAAGGTACTTTTATCTCTTGTTATAAGGAGCTGCTGCATCACAATGGTGGTGTCTGCATCTCCCCATTTTTGTTTAGTGTTAGTTATATTTAAAAGCCTAGATTATAACTTGATTGACTCTTGGCATCAGTTCCTGTTCCTGTCATACCTCTGAAGGGGGAACAAGGAGCTGATTCACACTTCTGCTTGTCCTGCACCTAGAAAGCATGGGTCCAAGTGGTTTCCCACTTGTGCTGTGCTTCCTGGGCACAGATATGAGCAATTTGCCTTTGCCCTGCTGCTTCCCCCTGGAAAACCCACTCTTTAAGAGATAAATAGGAACAATCAGCCGATTGCCATTTGCTCTGATTCAGTGCTAAACCATGGGTTTTCCCCAGGCAAAAACGGTGGGACAATGAGCCAAGACGAGGAAGCTGTAAAGGTATAGGCTGGGAGGGGGTCTTCTAGGTGGTGTTGTAAGGAAAAGTTTGGTTTCTTGGACCATGGTCTCCGCACTTCACAGTGGTTGGCAGGTATGTGTTTGCTAAGGGTCTCATGAACCCTATCAGGAGTACTTTAAACTAAATCCTGAGGGGAGGGAGGTAATATTACAGATGGCAGCAGAATGATGAGACTCATGACTGGAAAGTATAAATTGAGGGGGATAACCTGTTCAAAATGAACAGACCAAACAAGAAGGGAGAAGGGTACACTTATGAAGAGATCTATGACCTGGACCATGGAAGACAGATTGAGAGTATATAGGTAAAAATTGTAGGGGAGAGGAAAAACAGTGACCTTACTGTGAGTGTCTGCTCTAGACCTCCAAGCTAGACTAAAGACTTGGATGATACCTTCCTATAGCCGATTACTAAACATTCAAAAAGGAAAGATATAGTAGTCATGGGAGACGTCAACTACCACAATATTTGTTGGCAATGTAAGGTACAACATCCTCAATTGCATCACTGACAATTTCATTTCCCAGAAGGTAGAAGCAGCAGCAAGGGGATCATCTATGTTAGACCTGGTCCTCACCAACAGGGAGGAACTGGTCAATGAAATGAAATGAAAGTACTGGGAACCTTGGAAGTGATCATATCCTCTTGGATTTCATGATACAGAGGAAAAGGAAAACTGAGTGTAGTCGAACAAGCACTCTGAACTTTAAGAAGGCTGATTTCAAAAAGCTTAAGGAACTATTGAGGCCAAGATGCATAGGAGTGTCTTATGGGTAATTCCAACAAGAAAGAAAAGTGGGAGGCATATAAAGAAACAAGTGTGGTTGCATGTTGCTTACAGATGAGCTGCGATATGAAGAAGCGCATCCGGAGGGTAGGACCCAAACCAACTGATTCAAGTTACAAGAAAGGAGATTCCCACTAAACATCAGGAATAACATTCTGATGGTATGAGTTGTTTGACAATGGAACAGACTCCCTTGAAATATGGTGGACTCTCCTTATTTGGAGGTTTTTAAGCAGAGATTGGATGGCCATCCACCATGGATGCTTTAGTTGAGATTCCTGCATTGCAGGAGGTTGGACTAGATGACCCTCGGTCACTTCCAACTCATCTGACCATATTTTTAAAAATTCAGTGCAATGATTTTTCACACCCATCTGCAGGCTCACCAAATCTTTCACAGAAAGACTTCCATAATGATGCTGCAGGGTCCCTGTCTTCCTCTGCAATGATCTAAAATTAGGCTGCAAACCTACCTGGGAGTACACTCCACAGAACATGAGACTTTCTTCTTAGTAGACATTTATATATGGTTACACTGTTAGGCTACTACTATACATGGGTTGCTAAGGTAATCATTTGCAGTTTAGAAATAAAAGCTATTTTGGTTTATTGCTTTTAAACACTGATACAGTGGTGCCCCGCAAGACAAATGCCTCGCAAGACGAAAAACTCGCTAGACGAAAGGGTTTTGCGTTTTTTGAGCTGCTTCGCAAGACGAATTTCCCTATGGGCTTGCTTTGCAAGATGAAAAACGAAAACGTCTTGCAAGTTTGTTTCCTTTTTCTTAACACCGTTAATACAGTTGCGACTTGACTTCGAGGAGCAACTCATAGAACGCGGTGTGGTAGCCTTTTTTGAGGTTTTTGAAGACTTTGGTGATTTTTGAAGCTTTTCCAAAACTTCTTTTGCAGCCATTTGGTAAGTTAAACTTTTAAAACTTTTTGGGGGGGTTTTGGATTTTGGGTTGGGGTGTTTGGAATTCAAGGACTTGGTGTTGGGGAGGGGTTTGCAAGAATCTGGAAGCTTGTGTGTTTTTTTCTGCATTTTTATGATTTTCTGTGACCATTGGGCCACTCTGCTGTTTTTTTAAAAAAAATCTGGATTTGAATTTCTGTGTGGTGGGTGGCTGGGGGAACAGTTGAGGAGGGGCTTGCAAGAATCTGGAAGCTTGTGTGTGTTTTTTCTGCATTTTTATGATTTTCTGTGACCATTGGGCCACTCTGTTTTTAAAAAAAATTTCTGGATTTGAATTTCTGTGTGGTGGGTGGCTGGGGGAACAGTTGAGGAGGGGTTTGCAAGAATCTGGAAGCTTGTGTGTGTTTTTTCTGCATTTTTATGATTTTCTGTGACCATTGGGCCACTCTGCTGTTTTAAAAAAAAAATTCTGGATTTGAATTTCTGTGTGGTGGGTGGCTGGGGAACAGTTGAGGAGGGGTTCTTCAGCAAGAAGCAAAGAGTGGAAGAGGAACCTTCTTCGAGTTGTCCCCCAGAGTCTTAGAAAATGTACTGTACACTTTGTTGATTTTTAAATGTTTTTCTGTCATGTTTAGAAACTTAATTTATTGTTCCTTCGATTTTTGAAATGCTCTTTACAGTATGTGTGACTTTAAAGAGCACTTAATAAACTCTTGTTGTACCAAATTTGGCTTTGTTTGGACTTTTTTTGACCATAGGAACGCATTAATTGAATTTCAATGCATTCCTATGGGATTTCGTGCTTCGCAAGACGAAAAATTCGCTAGACGAAAAAACTCGCGGAACGAATTAATTTCGTCTTGCGAGGCACCACTGTATATAACAATTGTATATCAATACTTCTATTCTAACATACTTTTACTATTGAAATGAGATTAGTTTGTTATGTGTATGAATATCTCCAGTTAAAGATTCTGTGATATAAGGAATCAGCAAAAACTCCTTAGAACCTCTCTTATAAAGGAGACACACCCACATTTCTAAACATTTCAGATCAGTTTATCTGTTCTTTTTTATTTACTGGATTCTTTTCATCCCCTTTTAATTTCTGCAAAAAAATCACAAGGTGGGGTCCTCAGTTGTCTTGTCAGTGTTTGAAACTCAAAATGCTAATAAAAATAATATATGATCCCTTAATTGCCTTGTTGCCATTACATTTACTGTACAACCTTAGCACATAGCTTCTACCTACACAACAAACACAAAATAAAGGCTTGCTGGGATAGACAGAATAGCCTGGCAGGTTACTGTACCAAGTGTATATTGGGATACAGCCAGTAAAAGAGGTCACAGCTGAAATGCCACTGCACTGCAGCAATCCTTGGTTGTCAAATCAACCCTTTGAGCATACATTAAAGCACTTACAAGACTGATTGAACTGAATGAAAGCATGATCAGGTCTATAAGTAATGCAGGGATCAGAAATAGCAAGAAGCCATCCTTACATACATTCCTAACTTCAGGCTTTGTAATAATTATATTTGACTGATTATGCTTAAAGACAAGCATATTTTGCCTTTATAAAGAAATAAACCAGATGGGAACAAGAAGAAAGACCTATAGAATGTTATCTATACTATACAGTCCATTAAGAATGGGTAGTGAAAACCAAGTAATATAACAAGTACATCTAATAAAATAAATCTCAAGACACGGGGCATCTCTTTCCCCAAGAAATCCCTTGCAAAGCCAGGTTGACACCCATCTAGTCTAGTTATATGTTTTCAGTAGTGGCCAGCTAGATATCTTCGATGAGTTCCATAAGCAAGACATGATGATGATAGTCCAAACAAGTGGCTTAAAATCTTAATCTGGTTTCCAGAGGTAATGTGCTACCTGGAACATGGACTCTCTCTAATTCAGGGGTCTGCAACCCGCGGCTCCGGAGCCGCATGTGGCTCTTTTACACCTTTGGCGCGGCTCTGGGGCGGATACTAGCGAGGGGAGGAGGCGCATTGTGCGCCCCAACACTCCCCACTGTGGCGGGCGCTGTACTGGCTGTGACGTCGCATGGGGGTGGTGCGTGCATTATTTTTATAATGACGAGTTTTGCGGCTCCCAGTTTTTTTTCCTTCGGAAACAGGTCCAAGTGGCTCTTTTTGTCTTAAAGGTTGCAGACCCCTGCTCTAATTATTGACTTAACGTACACGAATTTATCTCATTGTTATAAGAATTTTAAGGATATATATATAGCAAGCATATACATAAATGTATAGACCACATGTCTGAGACCCACAGAAAAGTCCTGAAACCATTTGTCGCTTCCAATTGACCTCAAATATTTCTCTGCAAAGTCGAAGGAAATGGGGAGCCTCCCCATTGTCTCTTTGCTCACAAATCCTCTCTCAAAGGCACATTTAAGATATGAATAGGGTGAACCTGTGACCTGGATTCAGGAACTGAGTAGTTATCATAAAAAAAGAGTGGCCAGGATGCCCAGATAATCCAATCAGGTAATCTGGCAGACGGGATAAAAACAACGTACTCAGATTTCGGTTGTAATCCGCCCCTTGTCTGATGTACTGGGGGTTGGTCTTGGGCTACACCCCTTCTGTGATATATGTAAGATGTATAGAGGGGTGGTCTTGGGCTCCAGGGTGGGCAGTTCAAAAGTCTATATAAGGCCTTGCGTGCATGGTTCCTCCTCATCCGTGTAGGGGAGCACCCTGTTGCAACAGCTTTAATAAAGATCAGGCTTACTAGCTGCTTTGCTTCTCAATATTCTCTGGTTGGCCTCTGTTATTTTCTCCTACTGATGGAGAACCTACAAAGGACTCTATAAGGGCTCTTGTGTACCGTGTAAGGCAAAGGGAGCAGTTTTTGTTTACAACATCATCCTATTGAAAATGAGCTAATCTGGTTGTCAACATCTGTACTTCTGTGGTGAATACCACAAATAAACTGTTTGTGCATTTTGATTAAGTGTTACAGCTCAAAGTCTGCCTAACTGGGTAGTATTCATGGTGCATAGACCTCCTTGTGTCTCCCCTCACTTCTTGTTTTATAAACTGAAACTCAGAAATTCTTTAGCTTTCTTCATATGATTTCCGCCGCCCCCAGCAGTTTTCATTTTCTGTAAATTTTGAATACTTTTTTAAAATTACATTTTATTAAGACTTTAAAAGGACAACAACAGTAGTAAATCATAATATAGTATCACTTAGCACACCGGGGGGGGGGCGCACCCAGTCACCATATTTTTTAACTCCATATTGTCCTTTTTGAGATTAGGCAACCAGATCAGATCTTTTGCACAGTATTATATGACAACATACTTGACAAAATACTTGTTATTTTGATTTTCATCCTTTCCTAACAGTGACTTTGCCTTCTTTGCCACAAAATACTGAGTTTACATTTTCAATTACCGGTAGCTTTCTGCTAAGAACATGATTTCTTACAACTCATCAATGTATCTGAATTTCTTTCCAACAGCCTTAATGGCAGATTTGGGAAGGGAGCAATTTACATTATCAAAAGAGCATGAGACAAAAGGATTTAAAAACCTTCTCCCAGTCACCTTGGGGTGATTAGTTTTTGTTTTAAAGAAAGCACCAAAATTCTCATCACAAATAAGTCATACCACAGGTAGTTTGGCCATAACTACAGAAGCCTTTGGTATGGGACTTTCTCAAGTAAATTCATTGGGCTTAAACATGCTTAACACTGTGCTAGATTGCAAATCTGCAGGATCACACCCATCAGCGCACTTGTTGACAAGAAAGTATTCTGAAAAGCCGGTGCTATCAAGCAAGCCTTTCCTTTGAGGAAGCTATGATATTGTTCCTTAAGAACAACTTGTATTTTTTATAAGTTTCATAATTTTAGCCTAATAATGTTTCACAAAAATGCTGCTGTCACTCTCTAGATGTTTGGCTAACAGGTTGGAGACTTCTTGTAGCCCACCCCTCCCATCTACCATGGGATTTTTTTTTAATATAATGGTGTTACATTAGGTATCTTCTAATCCTTCAGGAAAGAAAGTTCATTTTCACAATAAATTACATATTTAAGATAAAATCTTAAATCTTAAATCAACAATCTTGCTACTTGGGCTGCATATGGAATGTAATTCAGAATTGTAAGTAAGCCCCATACCTATCCCACAGCTTGCATACTCGTCCTACTCCTACAGCACAGTTGCAAGGGTAGTTTGTACCCCCATTTTAGATTACCTGGAACTGTCCAAATCTTAAACTGTAGTTAATTTTAACTATGTGAAAACTAGCCAGCTTCAAAAGGAGGGCTTGAAATTGGCTTGTTTCCACGAACTATAATTACGATTAACCACTGTTTGTCCAGGTTTAGATAAAGCACCAAGCTGTGATTAGTTAACAATGAAACCAAAAGCTTCCAGAAATGTCTTCGCAGCATGCAGGGTGGGGGCAGCACACATAGGCCTGTAATTCTTTACAAATGCCATCTTTATAACCAGTATTTGAAATGGTTATTTGGGTGCATTGCCTGAAAATGATGATTCATAAAGTATGAGGAACTTTATGACATATTTTACAGTAGCATTCATTTTTGTGATCCGCCTACTTCTCTGGCTAATTTCCTAGTTATAACATATTTTAATATTTTTTTAGTATTCATTTTCATATATTTCACGATGTACTCTTCACATTACTTCTTTGAATTGAACATTTGGTTTTCCAGAGACTGTACACGTTGTTTTGGGAAAGAATCGACTCAACTCCTTTATTGGTTCTTGAAGTTTGGTGACTGGTAAACATTGCAACTTAGCCTCTACAGAAACAGTTTTAACATTCAAATGGATTAGACTCTCCAAACTATACCTTTCAGCTTTCTTTTATATGGTCCTTCCATTCTAGAGTTTCCTCTTTTGAAGTTAAATATAACTGTAAGATTTTCTGGGTACATTCATTTCTGATTGCTTTGTATTCATTGTTTCCAATCAGATAAAAAAATGCTTATAACTTAATGCCACATCCTAGGCACTATTTAGTCCCCTCTCATCTTGTTGGTGCCATTGCTAATTGTTCCAAGGCACAAGTATTTTGGGAGACAGAAATTCTGTCTCTGTCATAACCAAAAGTTAGCTAGCTAGTCAGCTTCAGTTTAGTTGGAAATATCTCTCCCTGCCCCTGCTTTGACTGCATCCCTGATTTTGTCTTTGTATTTCTTGATTACCACCAGATAACTGATTTTTACATTGCTCTTTCCCTGCGATCTAACTGGATAATGCCCTAAATGATCTGCCTGTCTCTCATGCTTATCAGATCGGGGCAATACCACTCTGACATGGAATCTAGTACAGTGGTGCCTCGCAAGACGAAATAATCTGAATTTTTTCGTCTAGAATTATCTGGCAATCCTAGGATGCATTAAATCAATTAATGATGGTCAAAAAGTCAAACAAAGCCAATTTGGATTTATAAGTTGTCACATACAAGCATTTCAAAATGATTAAGCAAACATAAACGAAAAAACTTCAGATTCTGCAACTCCCAACAGCCACCCAAATTCAAATCAAATTTTTGCCCAGTTTTTAAAAAAGCAAGGGCCCAATGGTCAAAAATCATAAAATGCAGAAAACAAACTTCCAGATTCTGAACCTCCCAACACCAGTCCTGAATCAAACCCCACCCAAATCAAAACCGCCAAAAAGTTTTAAAAAACACAAATGTGCAAATTTAAACAAATCACTTAAACTCAAAAAGGCTCGTCCGAGTTGCCGTCAAGTCAATGTTGTTAAAAAACTTGCAGACGTTGTTCTTGAATCGGAACGTCGTTTGTCTGGCATCTGGGCAACAGCTACATGACAAAATATAAGGAGGCTTAGAGTTTGCTTTGCTATGTTAAAATCTGGGCTCATTATTCGTTTTTCCCAAACAAACCACAAACTGTAACCAGAATTTGTTGTTTGTTTACTACTATAAAGCACGCTAGAAAAGCCGTTAAAGTAACTAAATAAATACAATGTTTGGATAAATCCCATAGACTCTAAGATACAAAGTAAATCTTCCCAGTGAAATGGATTTCGCTACCAACTTTCATCCTGACTTGTGCTGTTGTTCTTCATTATAGTCAGAGATAACTATATTCCATTGATCTTCACTTTTGCTACCAGGAATTTAATTGTCATAGTGTGGTAATTGGCAGCCACTTCTCTGCTTTCCTGTCTAGTTTAACTGTTCTCATTGTCAAAACCCATCCTCTCTGCACTTTAAGGACACAGAACACTTAAGAGGAATAAGTCACCCTGAACCAGATGCTCCTAAACTCCAGTCAGCTTTACAAACTTTTTGATACTATGTGCCAAAAGTCTGGTTTAAAGCTGGGCCAAAATATTCAGCCTAGCCCCAGGCTGTCAGTTTCAAGTTGTGGGGCAAAAACAGCCCTAGAAGGCTATTGCAAGAGTTGCCTGATGTTCCTTGATTTTCATCAAGCTGGTTGGTTTCTCTCTCTCTCTCTCTCTCTCTCTCTCTCTCTCTCTCTCTCTCTCTCCCCTTTCCTCACTTTCTTAACTGTCACCTCAAGAACCATTCTGCTTTGACAGTAGCTCCAACACTCCGCGGCGAAGGCCATTGCTTTCCCACCTCATATAAGAAATAAAGGGGGGAAACCACCTTGTTTTATACAACAACAGGCACACATACTGACAAAAATGAACAATTATGGACTATTTGCCCTTAAAGTTGCTAAAAATGAATCCCAGAGAACACAAATCACTCTGTGAAATGGGGAGGGGAGGTATTCTGCCTTGTTTTAGATATAGTTCGAATGAAACCTCACTAGCTGTTAAAAGGCAAAAGTATATTGCTTACACCGCCAATTTCCTCCCTCCCTGAAAAAGCAATACAGTGGTACCTCGGGTTACAGATGCTTCAGGTTACAGATGCTTCAGGTTACAGACTCCGCTAACCCAGAAATAGTACCTCAGGTTAAGAACTTTGCTTCAGGATGAGAACAGAAATTGTGCGGCGGCAGTGGGAGGCCCCATTAGCTAAAGTGGTACTTCAGGTTAAGAACAGTTTCAGGTTAAGAACGGACCTCCAGAACGAATTAAGTTCTTAACCTGAGGTACTACTGTACTGAAAAGCACTGAGAACTGCACATTTACCATATAACATATGGTTCTACCCTCAGCGATAGGTACACTTTGACAGAAAATGGGCTCTAGTGCCAAACAAATGTAAAGCATTTCTAGCAATACAACAATACCATCAACCTATTGAAATTCTAATTTTCTCATGTATCGGCTTATTATATGGTACTACAGTGGTACCTCAGATTAAGTACTTAATTCGTTCTGGAGGTCCATTCTTAACCTGAAACTGATATTAACCTGAAGCACCACTTTAGCTAATGGGGCCTCCTGCTGCCGCTGTGCCGCTGGAGCATGATTTCTGTTCTCATCCTGAAACAAAGTTCTTAACCTGAAGCACTATTTCTGGGAGTCTGTAACCTGAAGCGTATGTAACCTGAGGTACCACTGTAGTAGCATTTTAATAAATATCATTTCTTCTTAAAAGTCAAAGGCTCACTACAATAAACACACACCTACTATACCGCAATACCTTTTATCTTACATATAAATATTCAATATAATGCCTTCTCCTGCATACTAAATAACAGAGGTGGAAATATATCCAACTCATATAGACCACCCACCTCTGTGTATTCAAGTTCAGGCATGTCCAACACGTAGATCGTGATCTACCCGTAAATCACAGGACATCTGTGGTAGATCACTGGCTCCCCCTCAAAGAAGCTAAACAACTTTGGCTCTCCTAAAAAAAAGCCCTGCACTCCCCAAAAACGGGGCTTTCCTCCTCCCTAAAAAAAGCTCAAGAACTTTGACCTGAACCCCAAAAAAGGGGGGGTAGATCACTGCCAGTTTTTAACTCTGTGAGTAGATCGCAGTCTCTTGGGAGTTGGCCACCCATGAAGCAGATGTTCCCAACACCAACATGTTGCACAACCCAGGTAGAACAGGTTGAATTAAAGAAAATATAGGACAGATTTAGCCAGACATGAAGAGCTGCCAGATTTCATGATGCCAAAAGTAGATGCCAGAAAACAGAAAAGCAAATAATCCATTTAAGGGTGAAGTCACACTGGCCTCAGGCAGGCTTTTAAAAAAGACATTTCTTAAAGCCAGGATTTGCATAGTGAGGTTTCTGACACTCTGGAAATCCTACAAAATTTGATATTAAGAGAACTGTAGATAGCCGAAATTATTTGGAGGACACAGTGTAAAGGAGTCAAACCAATTCTAGTGAAGTAGGCATGTAAATTCAAAATAAGATAATGGGTTTTTGCTCTGAGATGTGCGGCTTTCAAGAAGCAAGTTGGCCAGAGAGCAAAGCAAACAAAAATATTATAACGTCCAGAAATCCTTGTTTAAAAGGAATATACAAGAAATAAAATGCCATTATACACAATTCTACAAAAACAATGGCTAATGTGACAACCAACTTATTCAATCCAAATATTGTCACAGTTCCTATTTTCTCCGGTTATAGCTTTAAGTGGCAACTAATGAAGGAATACACATTCACTGAATTAGCTAAGCACCAGTCAAGGCATACTCATATTTGTGAAAATCATCACTTGACTAAGACACCTATAATAGTTCTTAAATATTTTATTTGAAGCTTTTTCTCTCTCTAAGTCTTAAATAGCAAGGCAACTTGCCCTGGACTTTTCTGTAAATGATTCTTTTTAAAGGTATAATGAAGGTCTTGCACATTATTTTGGCAGAACTGATAGATGAATAAAAGAGTGAATTCATGGTCCCCGCCCCCCAATAAATTTGTACATCACCCTTCATCCAAAGATCAAGGCCTCAACATTCTAGCTCAGTTCTACATGAAGAACTTTCAAAACTAAGTTTCTCAGGGTTGCATCTAGATTTCCCCTGAGTTCCACTTTACTTGGATATCCTGATGGGAAAGACCTGCAGATTCCTACTTCCTGAAAATCTGCTCTATAAGGTATGGGGGCAGTGCTGGGAGCTTAAGTACAACCTGTGGAACTGTGTTACACAATGAGAGCACTATGATTCTGAATTAGTGTAGCAGTACAGATGACAGAGGGATGCAGGTGGCGCTGTGGGTTAAACCACTGAGCCTAGGGCTTGCCGATCAGAAGGTCGGCAGTTCAATTCCCTGCGACGGGGTGAGCTTCCATTGCTTGGTCCCTGCTCCTGCCAACCTAGCAGTTCGAAAGCATGTCAAAGTGCAAGTAGATAAATAGGTGGGAAGGTAAACGGCATTTCCGTGAGCTGCTTTGGTTTGCCAGAAGCAGCTTAGTCAGGCTGGCCACATGACCCGGAAGCTGTACGCCAACTCCCTCGGCCAGTAAAGCGAGATGAGCGCCGCAACCCCAGAGTCCGCGAATGGACCTAATGGTCAAGGGTCCCTTTACCTTTACGGATGACAGATATTCCCATTTTGTCAAGATTACTTAGACTATTCTCTGTAAACAACAATAATAAAAACGGAATCCTCAATTTTAAAATATTTGTGTGTTAAGTTTAAATGAATAGATTGTCAGAAAATACTACCATCTAAGTTGGGCACCCTAACTCCCTCTTGGAGTTGTGAAGGTGCACCCATCTTTGCCTTTGTTGTGGGGATGGTCCTGTGGGAATGTAATAGGGTAAGGCCACAGTTCTAGACCTGTACCTAGTTTAGAAAGGAAAGGGTGTAATAAAAGGAGGTTCCAAGAAATAAATAGTGCAAGTATGTATATGTAACACAACCATTGTAGCATTTTCATTTTTGGAGCCTCAAGAATATAAATTGAAACTGCAATTCTATCTATCTATCTATCTATCTATCTATCTATCTATCTATCTATCTATCTCCAAGAAAAGCCACTTACTACCATAGCTTTTGATTAATTTGAAAGTAAGTAAAGACAGCTAGATAAAGTTCATCCAGGATACATTTGTGTATAAGCAGATTCAAGCTACTATAAACAAGAAAACATAAAGGTGACTTTGAACAGGTTTCACAAAATTATACACAGGCATTGCCTGAGATCACAAGTAAATAGTTAAATCAAGCAGAACTGTGGCATGCAATGGCAATAAAAACCACAAATAAGGTACCAGAGAAAGTGAATGAAGGAGAAAGTTTAAATGAGATCAAGACAGGTGCTTAGATTAGTTTCTAAGCTAAAAGTGGACTCATAAGCTCTAAACAGGCTATCGTTCTTCATAGCCATACCTTCATGAACAATGCATCAGGAAAGGAGAGCAATTAAACTGAAATGAAGCCAATAAGATTGCTGAAGAAAGATATAGGAACTTATATGAAAACTAGACTTTAGTAACTGAATCTTAAAAAATAGAAAAATTTAAAAATTGTCCAGTAGCACCTTAGAGAACAACAAAGTTTCTTTTGGGTATAAGCTTTTGTGTGTATGCACACTTCTTCAGATACACTGAAACAGAAGTCACCAGACCCTTATATATAGCGGAAGTGTGGGGTGGGGTTTTCCCAGATGGGTAGTAGGAGAAAGCTTTTTCCTGTAGGACTAATTGCAGTCGTTAACAGTCATCAACAGATTTACCATACCCATTGAGTCACCCATCTCCTACTACCCTTCTGAGAAAAACCCCACCCCACCTTCCCACTACATATAAGGATCTGGTGACTTCTGTTTCAGTGTATCTGAAGAAGTGTGCATGTGCTTGGACGCTTATACCCAGAACAAACTTAGTTGGTCTCTAAGGTGCTACTGGACTATTTTTTTTTCTTTTTTGCTATTTATTTCGACTGCATCAGACCAACACGGCTCCCTACCTGAATCTTGAATCTAAGTGTGATTTCCCCCATTATTATTTTTTAAAAATTATATCCTGCCTTTCCTCCCAAAGAAGCCTAGGGAGCCATAAGAATGACTCCCCCACCATCCTATCATAAAAGCTGTAGGTCAAATCTGCAGTTTCATTTCCAATATACTTAGCTTGTCACTCTGCTTCTGAGAACAGAGCAATCTTTGGAACACAGCCATTCTGTACTATAAAAGCATGCAGCCTGGAATCCCTGCTTGACAACCTTTCCCTATCTTTTTTAGTGCTGAGAGGAAGTGCTGCATTCCAGACAGTACATAGCTAACAGTTCTGGCTACAAACTCCCACAAGTACACAATTCCACAAGCGCACTAGTTTTGATGTTCAATGTGTGGTCAAAAGCTCTACAAGGACTTGATTCCCCATTCAAGACAAACTGTTCAGTACCTGTTGCCAAAAGGATATGACTAAGTGTCAGGCAAACAAAGTATTCTAGAAATGAGTCTCAATTGGGGGGGGGCACCCATTTTCTGGCACCTCCATCCTGCGGCCCTCTAGGCTCCTGCCCTCCATCATGACTAGGGAATGAGGCATGTCCCTTCTAAAACACAGAGTTCCTAATTAAATCCTGTTTAGCAAAAAGAGAAATCCACCAGCAATAGCCATCGTTCTCGGCTCCCAGAAGGTGTCTACCATCTCCCCGAGCCTCCCCAAAAGTTCCAAACTAACCACTTGTAAACCATAGAATCATAGAGTTGGAAGAGACCACAAGGGCCATCGAGTCCAACCCCCTGCCAAGCAGGAAACACCATCAGAGCACTCCTGACATATGGTTGTCAAGCCTCTGTTTAAAGACCTCCAAAGAAGGAGACTCCACCACACTCCTTGGCAGCAAATCCCACTGTCCAGTTTGTCAGTGTCCTTCTTGAACTGTGGTGCCCAGAACTGGACACAGTACTCCAGGTGAGGTCTGACCAGAGTAGAATACAGTGGCACTATTACTTCCCTTGATCTAGATGCTATACTCCTATTGATGCAGCCCAGAATTGCATTGGCTTTTTAGCTGCCGCATCACACTGTTGGCTCATGTCAAGTTTGTGGTCAACCAAGACTCCTAGATCCTTTTCACATGTACTGCTCTCACGCCAGGTGTCACCCATCTTGTATTTGTGCCTCTCATTTTTTTGCCCAAGTGCAATACTTTACATTTCTCCCTGTTAAAATTCATCTTGTTTGTTTTTGCCCAGTTCTCTAATCTGTCAAGGTCGTTTTGAAGTGTGATCCTGTCCTCTGGGGTGTTAGCCACCCCTCCCAGTTTGGTGTCATCTGCAAATTTGATCAGGATGCCCTTGAGTCCATCATCCAAGTCGTTGATAAAGATGTTGAATAAGACCGGGCCCAAAACAGAACCCTGTGGCCCCCCACTAGTCACTCTTCTCCAGGATGAAGAGGAACCATTGATGAGCACCCTTTGGGTTTGGTCAGTCAGCCAGTTACAAATCCACTGAGTGGTAGCATAGTCAAGACCACATTTTACCAGCTTCTTTACAAGAATATCATGGGGCACCTCGTCAAATGCCTTGCTGAAATCAAGGTAGGCTACATCCACTGCGTTCCCTTCATCTACCAGGCTTGTAATTCTGTCAAAAACGAGATCAGGTTAGTCTGACATGACTTATTTTTCAGAAATCCATGCTGACTATTGGTGATCACAGCATTCCTTTCTAGGTGCTCACAGACTGTTTGCTTAATGATCTGCTCCAGAATCTTCCCTGGTATTGATGTCAGACTGACTGGGCGGTAATTATTTGGGTCCTCTCTTTTCCCCTTTTTGAAAATAGGGACAACGTTTGTCCTCCTCCAGTCTGCCGGGACTTCGCCTGTTCTCCAGGAATTCTCAAAGATGACTGCCAGTGGTTCTGAGATCACATCTGCCAGTTCTTTTAATACTCTTGGATGCAGTTCATCTGGCCCTGGAGACTTGAATACATCTAAACTAGCCAAGTATTCTATACTATCTCCTTAGTTATTCTGGGCTGTGTTTCCTCTGCTGAATCATTTGCTCCAAAGTCTTCAGGTCGGGCATTGTTTTCTTTATCGGAGAAGACTGAGGCAAAGAAGGCATTGAGGAGTTCAGCCCTTTCTGTGTCCCTGTTTGCATTTCACCATCTTCTCCTCTGAGTGACCCCGCTGTTTCTTTGTTCTTCCTTTTGCTACGAACATACCCATAAAAGCCTTTTTTGTTGCTTTTAACCTCTCTAGCAAGCCTGAGTTCATTCACCAAAACCACTTGGATCCGATACTCTTTTATAAATGACACTTGTGAGGCTACATTTGACCCTCTTAAGCCCAACCTGCATCTGATACCAGAAGATGCCAGCACCAAAGGTTGAGAGTAATTTTTGCAATGTTAATTTGGATTAAGTGTAGCATTAGGTAGACCAATATTCTGATATAGTGTTTAGTTTTGATCCTGAGCTCTATACCGGCTGCTTCTCTCCCTTCTTTTTTTACATACACTTCTTTTAAATATACCGCTTATTTACACTTCTGGGCTGTACTGGTTTCTGCACACTCTCATGGGCTGGTGGTTTGGGCTGCTGGGACTCCACTACTGTCTTCCCTACAAGCTCCACTAGGCACTCTGCTCAAACTTCTAATAGTGCTGCCAGCTGATGGGGGGGGGGCTTGCAGGGGTACTATGATGGCCACGACAGCAACTGGATTCCTCCACCAAGGCAACCAGAGGAGCCTGTGAGCCTCACCTAGCTGCCTAGAGGAATGGAGAAATGGTCTGGGGAGCACGTGGGCAGGCTCCTAACCATTCCAAGTCAGAGGCACCATTCTTGTATCCATCTGGGCCCTTGGCAGGGCCAACCTAAGCAACTCCAAGGCATGCCCTTGGCTGCCAGTAAAGCAGCTTCAAACTAAAAGGATGTGTTCCCTAGGGCTAATCTAAGTCACTAAATGAGCAGCGTATTCTATGCTAACTGTTCCAATGTTAAAAACTAATTAACAAAAAAGAAGCAAATGATTTTCATGCAACACTAGGGAAGATTCTAAGAAACAAATCAGAATGAAAGAAAGTTTAAACAGACAGGGAACTGCAAAATTCTTGTAACTAGGACCCAACCATTTATTTTGCTATTTCAGGCTGGTTTTGAACTAAGGTTTCCCAAGCAGCTCCATGACAAGCTACTTCTGTTACAGAGAAGAGTTTCAAAAGGTCATCTAACTTCATGCGCATCTCACTGCACACTGAGAAAACTAGTTATATGATTTTGCAGTCTAAGAATTCCTCTATGAGAATAATTACTACAATATTATTCCTGTGATCTAATGAATTTAGTTCGCATTAGATTTTCGTTGTTTATGTATTAACAAAAAAACGAAATACACTCCTTTGCTATTTACATGCCCCTGAGCCCACTGGGAGTTATTTAACAGTAAATCTGTGTAGGATTGTGGTATACGCTTTAAAACAGGGGGTCACCAATGCTTGCAGGCCAATGAGCACATTTGGAATTTTGAGAAAGTGCTATGGGAACCACTCACTATATGGCTACCATGGGGCTATGGCATTATGGGGCTGTAAATAAATTTAAACATCTGGATGTAATGATAAACTATGGTTAATCCAAAATGGAAGAATATGCTTCCAACATTCTCATAGTCACACTTGAGAAGGTTTGGAGGAGAAGGGAATGCAAGGCTATTCTGTTGGTAATCAAGCTAAAGCTTGCCCTTGTAATGTTAAATCATGGCTTACCAATATATTGAGCTATATGAATACATATTTAAAAGATTTGGAATGAGTAAAATATTTTTTAATCCTTTGAAAGCACAATAAAAATTAAGTCCTACTTAATGCAATGGAATTTACTCCCAGGTAAGTGTGGATAGGATTGTGGCCATGCTGTGGTTGTTGAAACAAGCCAAATATATGGTTTGAATCAAACTAATCACTGCGGCTCTTCCACACAATTCTATACTATAATTTAACATTACATCTGAACTGGATCTTTCACATTGAACTTTTTGCTCTATTCCACCTCTTTTTCTAGTACAGGCATTTTACGTGTGTTCAATTTGGACATGACTGCATATATGTGCAGTGCTGGGAAATAATTAAATAAATCAATTTTAACCACAACAAGGGCAAAACAGCCCAAAGAGAGTGGGAAAACTGCAAAAATGGCACCAAAAGAACGGGAAAATGGCTAGAAATTCCAGGATTCCACAAGCCTTTGCATAACCTTTGTGGCCTGTGGAGAGTTGGGTGGATTTTTGTAATTATATTACATAATGTCATTGGTGTCCTAAAAAGGCTCACACATAAATTACAGTTGGTTTCCGAAATAAATAATATGAAAAATATTCCCCATTTAAGTAAACAGAATAGCTAGAATCAGAAAGCATTGACCCCTTAAAAATGAATTGAATTATCACATTTGTTGTTTACAGCTGGATATACTCCTGCATTTTACAGACAAGCGAGCTACATGGTGTGCAGTTTGCCTGGAAAAATGATGCAGAACATCTACTATTGATATAACTTCCAACAATTGGAAACTATTGGGATGTCTGAATATTTGGTACCTACACTGACACAAAGCAAACATGTCATTTTAAGAAGAGAGACAGATACTACATCAATTATTAAGTATTAAAAATATTAAATTTTATAACAGTATTCAAGAAAGAAAGGAATTTTCTCAAGCATATTCAATATTTCACCTTAAATTTTCAGAAATCAGTTTCATTATTACAAAAAGCTACGTGATGGTAAAAGGATCCTTTTAAAGTGGCTCATTACAGTTGCTGCCAGAGTGGCTGGGGAAACCAGATGGGTGTGGTATAAATAATAATAAAATCATCATCAACATCATCATCTGCACCTCCAAAGGAAGGCTATTCCATAGGTGGAGCTCTGCTGCAGAGGTCCTTTCACATATCACCACTCCCTGAACTTCTCCTAGCAGTGGACCACAAGTGAAGCCTCTCCTGCAGATCTTAAGGCGTGGTCAGGATGGTATGGAAGGAAGAGTTCCTTCAAATATTAGTGACCCAAGTCCTTCAGGGTTTTTTTCCTCGCCAGACAATCCATGGAAATGAACTTGTTACAAGCCCCCTTACCAACAGATCCCCTTGCCTATCTATAGCAAATACCAGTTTGAGTTTGTGTGTCCTGCCATGTGCATTTGTATTTTAATGAACTAAGACAACCCCATGGCTGTCATGGAGGCTATGAAGTTCTGAGCTGGATCTATAGTGATAGCCTTGATGTGGAAACCGAAGTCTAGTTAGTTAGTTAGTTAGTTAGTTAGTTAGTGAATTTGTATACCACCCTTCATTTGAAGATCACAGAACAGTTCACAGCATAAAAGTACAAAATGAAACACAAAATACATAATAAAACATAAACAAAAGCAAAATAAACCAATGATCCCCTTCCCACAGAAACATTTTAAAGTCCATAGAATGTTAATCAGCCAAACGCCCAGGTGAGTCTCCCTGGGGAGAGTATTCCACAAACAGGGAGTCACCATGACTGCCATGTGTGGACTCTTCAAGACAAACTCTGCCAGGTAAGCTCTCAGGCAGTGGGGCAGGCAGAATATCAGAAGAAGCATCCCTATTATGTCTCTCGGATCCAAAATCCTCAAATCCAGTATCAGAGCAAATGGCCTCCTTACCAGAGTGATATAAATTTTATAGACAGCAGTGAAATAACACACCCTACCCTCCCAAACTGTGCTGGTGATACTGTACTATCTAACCAGGAAAACAAAGCTAAGTCAAGAATGCGATTTACACATGAGCATGACACTTGAACAGTTGAAGCAATAGCAAGTGTGAGACAACAACCCTGGGACACCTTTTGATGTTTCAAATAATGAGATCATGTCAGTCTGTTTTCAGGGAAAGTGGAGATCAAGTGTGTGTGTGTGTGTGTGTGTGTGTGTGTGTGGTTTCCACAGGTCAATTTCATATTGATTGTAGTAAAATATCAGTTGGTGATCTGATATCTAATTCCCAATAGCTTTCCAACAATAGGTGCTCTCAGTCATTTAAACAGCATTTCTACAGGCACAAAAACTATGATACTTTTACAAATTTGGGACTATTTCTGAACATGTCTTAGTCACAGATTCACAGAGTTGGAAGGGACCACAAGGGTCATCCAGTCCAACCCTCTCCAATGCAGGAACTTTTGCCCAACCCATGGGGGGCTCCAACCCATGATCCTGAGATTACGAGTCTCATGCTCTACCAACTGAGCTATTAACTCCATATGTAATTCCACCACAACCCCTTTTAATTCAGTGAAGGTTATTACTCTATTATCAGAAAAATAAACAAAAGATGTCACAATCATAGTATATGTCAACATGTATATTCTGAGTTCAGAGAAAAAAAGAAACAATATTGCATGTCAGTGCTGTGGTGCATAGGGAAATCACTTGCAGTGGCACGATATGTGCATGGCATTTCCATTTATTTTGTAGTCTCTGCCTAAATTACCATGTAGGCAAAGTCTCCTTCCCAACTAAGAAATTTTAGGGAGGCAATCTTAATTACAATCTGCTGGAAAAATTATTTCTTGTATGTATCTTTATTATTCACAAAAAAGCCATGCGCGTCATGCTTGTGAACATTGTTGTCTGTTCACAGAGCTTACTGAATGCACATAAATTGTGGGGGCTGAGTCTGCCGTCATAATTCTACATTCTTTTTATGTACAGTATACACACTTAGGTTGCATTAACTGCCATTCTGAATGCCATATAGTAGGGAATGAAACAAATGAAATAATTTACCATAGGGATGGCTGAAGTGGTGCCCCCCAGCTCCCATCAGCCCCAGCCAACATGGGCCAAGTTCAGGGATGGGTGTTCTCTAGATTTGCTGGACTACAACATGTTGGCTACTCCAGGCCTGTCATGTATACTGTTGCTAGTTTGCAACTACAGCAATACACACACAAAAGAATCTTGTTTTATGTATTGCTGTAGTTGCAAAGTAACGCTTCAGCAGAAAAAATAATGCAAGTTCTTTTAAGCTACACACTGAAAATTAGACAGCCTTTCAAACAGCTTGTCAAAGAGTTTGGAACAAGTCTCTGTAAAGAATTTTAGCTGACGTCCAAGTCATTTTAATGCATTACTTTAAAAATTGCTGATTACTCTACTTTTGTCACTGCTTACTTATATGGCAATGTAAACATGCCATCTTATGAAGTATATCTGTGCCTTTTGAGGGAATGCATTAAGAATTTAAACACATTGCTAAAATAAATATTCTTAAAGACTACACTTAAAGTAGTTTCATAGTATTTTAAAATTAAATGCCAAACATTGATGTTTTTTTTTCAAAGTCTGAAGTTTTGAAGTTTAAACCAGCCATGTATTAACTGGCATACTGTGACAGATATAACTATGCATGTGAAGGCTGCACATCTCACTTGACCTCTTATGTCTTGAACTATTAGGGTCTTTAAAACATCCAATTTATCAATCACAACTGAACTGCAGAATTTCAACACCCTCCATCTCTGTGCAGCGAATTACCATACTGGTCCTGCTTTAACGCTAATAATTTCCAGTTCAGTAACTCTTCTGAATTGTTTCTGGTCCGGTCGTTTATATCTAACTGGTACAAAGCATATCTATTTCTTCATTGTAGTTTTCTGCAAATGTTAAGTTTTATTGCAGGGGTGAACAGAAAGACTTGAGTTTCTTGCAAGATCCCAGGATACAGAGAGGGTGAAGTGAAAACAAAAAATCTTTAAAATCAAACAGATTAATGTAGCACAAGCTTTTGCGAGCTGGAGTCCACTTTATTAGATGCATCTTATTTATATTAGTTTTCAAAGTGACATACAGTGGTACCTCGGGTTATGAACTTACCATATTTTTTGCACCATAACACTCACTTCTTTCCTCCTAAAAAGTAAGGGGAAATGTCTGTGCGTGTTATAGAGGGAATGCCTACGGGTAGCATGCCTACGGATTTTCCTCCTCTAAAAACTACGTGCGTGTTATGGTCGGGTGCGTGTTATAGAGCGAAAAATACGGTAATTCGTTCCGGAGGTCCGTTCTTAACCCGAAACCATTCTTTAAAAAAACCCAAAAAAACCCCCGAAACCGTTCTTAACCTGAGGCACGCTTTCGCTAATGGGGCCTTCCGCCGCCGCGCAATTTCCATTCTCATCCTGGGGCAAAGTTTGTAACCTGAGGTACTACTTCCGGGTTAGTGGAGTTTGTAACCCAAAGTGTTTGTAACCCGAGGTACCACTGTGCATTTTTTTGCAAGATGCCATTATTTTATGAGCTTTGCTTTCTTCATGGGTTTGTGTAGTGGAAAACTTGTAAATGGTGGAGGGAATATGATAACTTTTTTGAGGTGTCTGTTATAGGGAGACTTACTGAAAACAAGTGTTACTGATGAATTCAGCTATTTTGTCATGCCTTTATGTCGTAAACCATTCTTGAGTATGGATAAGATACAAATCAAGTGACTTGCCTTTATCTACCAGTGCAATTTTCAAATCTTGCTACATATTTTTGTTGTGAAGTCACTTTTGAAGTTTTCAGGTCAATCCTGCTTACTCAGAAGATATATGTACCCAAATATCTAAAAAAGCCAAGCCTGCCTTCTTCCCTATAGACACTCCCTGGTATAGAGATAAGCAGAGGCGGACCTCCTAGTACTTCCTTTGCTCCCTGTTTAATAGGGCTTTTTCCCAGATCAGTATATAAGGTTGCTATTTCTGCTGAATTATTTTCTACAGAAATTAAACTATACAAATTTTATTTCTCTCCTCTTATTCCATCTCTTTTTCCAGCTAATAAATGGAAATCCTTGAAACCCTATCATTTACATTAAAATACTTGAACTAGTTGAGCCTCACAGAGTATGCCATAACATTCCAAGATTACTGTCACAGCATGCTTCAGTGGTCAGGGAAGTGGTCATACAAGGGCTGAGCTGGAATTATAAAGCGGTGGAGACATAAGATGCTTAAGAGACAAGGAGTAGTGCACTGGACTACCAACACTTCCTGCCCTGAATCTATCATTTTCCTGTATTCTAAACGATGACTGAATGGTATTTATGTAACAACATTAAACACATTTAAAGCTTCCTAGATTCTCTAACTAAAGTTAACTAATCAACTACCTTCAAACCCTGAGAATAATGCTGGTTAAACTTACAACTTAATTCATTTATTCATATTACTGTGCTACTTTCCAATCTCTTGGTTTTCAGAATGACATACAACAGATCAAAACAATAAATTTATTAATAAAACACAAACAAGCATAAACCACTACAACATATGCGAAAATTAGGGACTAACACGTTTTAAAAGTTTGACAGAATAAAAACAAACAAACTTGCAACTGTTCGCCCAGAACTGTTAAGAGGGCAGGTCGGGAAGATTTCCCATAGAAGGGCATTCTACAACAAGCAATCAGCTGTTAAGGCATCTACAGTAGTATATACGACTTCAACCACAGGGTTGGGTAGAATGTGAGGCCGCATCAGGTAAGTCGTAGCTAAGCTGTTGCTACCATGTTGCATTCCAGCTAATCCTGACCAGACCAAAGGAGTACTACATGCAGTGTTCTAGTCTAAGACACATTCCTCTGAATATATACTTGTTTTATACATGTGGCAGGAGAAAGGGATGAACCTTTTTCAATAAGATACATAGTTCTGGTGAATCACATGTGCCATGTTCCCATAGCTATGCTTGTAGTGTGGGTTATCTATATGGACATTACTCACTTTCTAGTCTATTTCTATGGATTTCTAGAGGTCTCACAGAATGGAAGTATGCTGGGAACTAGAATGCAGAAGGGTCAGCTGTGTTGCGGTAGTTTGGTTGCCTAGCGGTTGCCATCACGTGGTATGCCACATCTTGCTTACAGAGAAGGCACAATTTGTGCTGCTTCTCTCTTTGGTTATCTCAGAGCCTCCCCTTGCAGAGATGAGAGAGAGAGAAATGATGTCAAGAATCTGGTGGCTGCAGGAGATGAGAGTTGGAGGGAGCAGGGTGCCAGGTGCCACATCAACCCGACACCGCTCCTGGTGAGTGAAATAGGGCTGGGTCAGGGAGAAAGTTCAGGAGGAGGGAGATCAATTCATGGTCTCATTCTCCAGTTGCAAAATTTATAATGCTTCAAGTGTCCCTGCTTCCATTTCCCCCCTCTCTGCTTTACATACACCCACCTCCCATTTTAGGACCTCTCTTCAGGCTGCATGCCCACTTCATCAAGCCAAACAATGGCACTTTTCAGCTTGTGATCTGGTGAGCTACAAGGGGGAAAAGCTGTGCTGAATGAACCCTATGTGTGGCAGAGTAGATTTGGGGGGCATGGAGAAGGGTGGAGAAGGAATTGTAGCGGTTTGTGTTCCAAACATGTATAGAGTAGCCAGGAATATCTTCTGGGTAGTCAACAATAGCAGGTGAAAGAAAGTAGAACGTGACAGAAATAAAAGATTGAAACATGTGAAAAGAGAAGATAGAAGTCAGGGGAAAGGAAAAGACAGCTGGTGACAGAGGATTGTGAAAGAGGACAGAGTGGCAACAGATAAAGGAGTAGGAATATTCAAGTAAGAAGGCAGAAGGGAAGCGGAGAGAAGGTGAGAAAACAAAGGCAAGGCAGGTGATATGGGAACAAAAAGTGCTATAAAAAGGCGCTGCCAGAAATAAAAGTGGCAAAAGTAAGAGGAGATGCAGAAAGCTGAACCTTCTTGGATGTTTTTTTCGGTAGAAAAATGCAAACATAATGCTGATGATTACTTGCCCTTTTGCTCAACATCAAAGACAGCCTTCAATGAAGAAGAAGAAACCCGGAAAGCAAAAATAGGATACGACTGGTTAAAGGGTCCAAAAGCTTCACCAACAATAGACGAGCAATTATTAAAATTGTCACTTAATTATACATACGTGTTCAGAAACAGGAGCCGTTACTCCCATTACTTCAAGTATTAGTTGTAAAGGTATTGAACCTACCACCTAGTAAATTCCAAGACAGATAAATTTTACACAGAATCTAAAAACATCATTTGTTCCTACTTATTATCCTTGGACCTCTAGCCCTGCTATTAGGTGAAGAAAACCTTGTCTTCACCTAATGTTTGATTAATAATCTGTAGTTTTTATTATTAGCATGGTTTTGTTGTCTTGACTTCTCTTTTAGCAAGAGAAGTTGTCTCAAATGAATATATTTAGTGTATCTTCATTACCCTTGGCCTCTGCTTTTCTTAGCCCTGTTTCACTTTCTTCTGCTTGTCTTGTCTAATTTATATAAATGGTCAGTTCCTAACGTAGGCCCCTGTCTAGGGTCAATATACTAAAACAGGTGGCAAATCAACAAAGTTGACAATGGACACTCACATACATATATGTTACTATAAAGCTACTTAGCATAGATATGCAATTATGCAAAACAAAACCTCAGTAAGATGTTCTCCTTACCAACTGCAATCATCTTGCATTCAAAAAAGTCGTAAATATGGGACAACTTAAGAAAAACTATTTGCTGACCCCAGGGAAAAGAATACAATAAAACAACTGAGAATAGTAAATGTTTTCTCTTTATGAGCAAAGTATGGGGGTGGTTTTTTTCCTTCTTTTCTTCCTTTTGCAAAGTCAGCTTTTTCATCACATTTGTAGTTTCAGTTATGGCAGAAGGTGTCTGGGTGGCCTAATTCCTCTTAATAAGAATGCATATGGTAATTTGATAGCAGATTTAAGTACAGAGTCTATCAGGATTACTGAAGAAAAAAGCCACATGCTCGAATCTCATTCCTGGAATAGTATGATAGCACTCTAAGAATTGAAAAATTAATCCATCTACAATGAATAGAAGGAAAAGGTAATCAGTGGCTCAACATACTAGTCCCATCAACTGCAATACACACCCCTTCTCATTCCCTGATTATAGTCTTCTACCACTTTGTAAATTCATACAAGAGCAGTTGTGCTGTCTGACACAATGGCATTTATAAATTAGGATGGCAATCCTGTGTATATAATTATGTTTATGTAATTGCCAAAGATTTCACTGTGTCTTCCCCTTCATAACTACGGTTGCATTTACATGTCATGTCATGAGAAGCCAAACCATGGCTTAGAGTAAATGTGCTGGTTTCCAAGGAAGAGAGGATAGCTGCCTTTTAGGTCAGCCCAGCCCAGCTTGGCTTAGCATGTTGTTCAAATGCAGGTTTGTGATAAAGGTATATCTTCTTCTTATGGTTACAGCTCACAATTCCAGGTTTGGACAACATACTAAGCCAAACCTTGGTTTATCTGCTATCCTGTGCTAACCTAAAAATCCCAGGGAGGGGGAAAGCAGGCGAGAGCTTGATTCAGGGTGTGGACGGGAACCATCCTGAGTTAGTCCTGGTTCTCTAACCATTCTTGGAATCAGAGGCCTTGAATCCTCCTGCTGCTGCAAGACAAAGATCAGGTTCTGATTTTTCCCTTCCATGTCCCTTACTAAAAGATCTGATGGGAAGTAAGAAACAGACCACTGGTAAATCATTCCCTAGTTGGAAACCGGGGTTCCTGTCCCTCAACTGTTACCTGGAGGCAGCCATTCCATCAGAAGAAGGCTCATTCCATATGCTTTATCAAAAGATCACCTGTATCAGGCATCTCCTACCCCTGATCTATGCCAGTTGGTCATTATCAGAACAACTGTGCAAGAATTGGTACCTGAATTTGACTGATTAGACTGCAACCCTTCAGGAAGGAACTGTCTTATTTTTATTGACTGCATGTAAACTACTATGAGAACCTTTCTGGTGAAGAGCAGGGTAAAAAATGCTCTTAATTAATTAAAAAAGTTCATCTTTGGTAGCGAACATATTCAGACAGTTATGATGTGCCATACAAGTTTGCCTAGGAAGTATGACAGAAAAAAGGAAAAAAGCTTCTTATTTACTGCATCAAAAGGCATTCATTTAGTGGATAAAGAGTTAAAAATTGTATCTTGGGTTCTTGTTGTTTTAGCATGAAAATAGATTCAGTGGTCAAAGAGAATGCTAAAGAATACAAATACATTTCTTTAATAAATAAAAAAAGTCATAGCACTGAGGTGAAAAAAATGTATTATGTGCACTACCAAACATTTCTGTCTAAATAAAAGCATTACCAAACCATTTTAGGCAGTAAAATTTAACTGTAGCTGACCTTCTGTATTAAGTAAACAAACCTTTCTAGCCAGTGTGCTTCCCTCTGAACTCTGCAAGATAATAAGCAATACCTTAATTACATTCATTTACATGACTTTGAAATTGTTCCAGACTGAAGTCAATGCCTACAAGGTCATAGCTTATGGAGAAGTAAGGGAGACACAGAAAGATAATTAGGGGCAATTTATACAATACAGCTGTGGAAGTGTCTTCTTCAAAATTATTATGAACAAATAAAAAAAAGGTCTACATTTTTCATCTTAGATAGAAAATAAACATGTTAATAGCAAAATTATATAATAGATTTTCCTTTCTTGAAATGAGAAGTGCTAGAAATTATAATTTTTAATACCCAACGACCAATGCAGCAGTCTGAATATTTTATGTGAATAGGATAATAGTGCAGGCTAGAAGGCATGCTTTAAAAACAAAGTTACTGGACGTCAGATCTGCTGAACACACAGTGCACAATCAAGTTCATTAGTATATTAGTTTAGTATACTGAGTAAGAAAAGTGTGCTAAATCCCAAAGCTAAGCAGGCCACTTCAGATAAATTCAGGACCAGTTTGAGTCAAGGTGGGATCCCTCCAAATTGCTTAAGAGATTTGGAGATTCCGGTTTTTAAAAAATGCTGCAGACAGTAGGTCTTCAAAATTTCTAACATTTCCCCCCAAGCTTGCCATATATGATAAACTAAAAAATGGGGAAAGAGTTATTTTGTGGACACCATGTCTAATTGTGAGAATAACTGTACCAGAGCATTCTGTCACAGTGCTTTGAGAGAGGGATGTTGAAGTAAGGGATCACCTTGTTCTTTATCTGATCAATGCACATTCCTGAGAAAAACCACAATATTCATGTGACTTAGACTCAGCTCTTTAGTTCTGTTGATACTTATGAATTTCTCAGCAGTACATTAACATGCTACTACTGAGTACTGTAACGTACGGTACTTAAGAAGAAGAAGAAGAGTTTGGATTTGATATCCCGTTTCATCACTACCCAAAGGAGTCTCAAAGCGGCTAACATTCTCCTTTCCCTTCCTCCCCCACAATAAACACTCTGTGAGGTGAGTGGGGCTGAGAGACTTCAGAGAAGTGTGACTGGCCCAAGGTCACCCAGCAGCTGCATGTGGAGGAGCGGAGACGCGAACCTGGTTCCCCAGATTACGAGACTACCGCTCTTAACCATTACAACACACTGGCTCTCACACTGTAGGGTTATCTGCTACAAAATATCATAACCTACTGCATCTGCTAACGGGCAACTCGTTAGACTATCATGTATTTATCTTCAAGCATTAGCTATAAAACCAAATAAATTTCCCACCAGATTGTCAAAGAAGGCTGAAGCAGGTTCACACTGATATGCCTAATTCAAATTTCATGGCCAAATCGTGGCTTGCATGTTGGGAAGATATTGCAGGTTTGTATGCTTCTTCCTTCATTCTCAGCTACCTCTTCCACTTTCCAATTCACAGCATCTCTAATATTTGCTGTTGTACTAACACCATTGGAAACACTAAGTATGGAATAAAGTTTACTCAACACCATGCAACTCCACTAGGTTACAATTATCCGAGAAATTCTTTCTTCCTTGCACCTACTCACGTGATGCATGAAACACTTCTGCTATCCTCCTGTTCTGCCTACTATCACTTATCTTCCCCGTCCCATTTTTAAAGGAAGTATTGCTTGCTGCTTCTGCACACAAATATGGATTTGATGTATAAAGCAGAGTTGCTGTGCTATCAGATGTAAGCATATTTCAAGTGCAGCGGAAGCAGCAAATATTGAAATTAAGGCTGTCATATTCATCAATTAATTGGTGAATTAATTGATTAAAATTATTGAACTCTGTTAATTGGGCATTGCTCCTATGTCATTCTTCTGGAGTTTCTGGTTTTCTGTCCACCATTAACATCTTTTTTAAAATAAATATATAAATGCCAAACCCTTATAATCTGTTACATGAAATGAATACAGCTTCAGTTCTAAACTAGATAAATAAAATACAAAGTAGTTTATAGCAGCAAAACCAACATTCCCAGAATTCCTATTCTTCATTCCATCAAATTCCATAAGTATTTTCAAGCAATTTGCTTGGAATATACACCACTTGTAGTTCCAGTAATCTCTGAGTTCTGTAAATCATCCTATTGCCTCCATGCCTTTTGTACCATTTTACAATCATTATTTTCCCAAAAAACTGTGTAGTCTTAGGCATAAAAACACTACCGCCAGCCTTTTTTTTTTAATATGTGGGACAGTCCTCAGAACTTTTGAAATATGGGTTTCAGGTGGCCTTTACTGCAACAAAATACCTAATTCTGCATAAGCCACCTCACTATTTACTAGTTCTTTCACATCCAATATGGTCACACAGGTCCTTTCGTTAATGACTCTTTTAACTATACTTGAATCCTGTTTTACGGACTGGTATCCAGTAAAATTCAACAATTCAACACCACAGACCATAGTCCTGCTTTCAATGAGGCATTTCAGCTTTTCCCTTTCGGTTCAATATGGTTTTAATTCTTCTTTGGTTAATAATTCCCTTGTATATGTTTATCATTATATTTTATTAATTTCCATTTATAAAACATATAATTGAAAATAAAAACAGCAATCAAAAGTAATCCATTCCAATATTTTCAATTAATGAAAAATGTGATTCATCTTATTGGCTTCTCTTCAGTACACCATAGTTTTCCAGAATGTTCAAATAAGGCACAGTATGGTTACTGCTACCTGCAAATCAGTTAAAAATTTATAAATCTGAACACTACCAAGGCATCTAGAAAGGTAGCCAAGTCACCACTGTTTCATCACTTTGGTTGCACTTTTAAAAGTTGTGTGTGGAAGTTAATTCCATCAGTGTTACAATGGTTGAAAAAGGTGTGTGTGATAAAACTCTCACTACTTTCCCCACTGTTCTCTGACAGGGCTCCTGCAGTTTGAAAAGCTGATTTACCTCCCTCTTCCTAATCTAGGCTTCTAATTAGCCACTCATCTGGCTCCCCTTTAGCAAATAAAAATTACCTCAAGGCGGCCAGACATCCTGCTGTCACAGTGATACAGCTGTGCATGCAACCACAAAAATGCTAAACTAGGATTGTACACCAAAGCAACTGCATACTTCGTGGTATCCTCTATTGCACCTTAAATACATATACATATTTTAAGGGACAGGGAAAGAAAAAGTGACAGGTGTACTGGCTCTATAGCAGAACCCTGTGTGAACAGAGAAAAATCACCATCAGTGAACACTATGGTACCTGAGAGCTGGAATTCTTTTCAGGAACTAAAAAAGATCAAAAAATCTCACTCTAAACTGGATAAATGTGCAAAAAAAATATGGCAAATTTGGTTCAATGTAAATAAACATGATGCATGCTGGGATAAAACAATACTAACTTCATATGTACACAGGTGGGGTCTGAACTGTTAGAAACTAAAGAGGAAATAAATTGAGGTCATGAAGGATAGCTCAATGAAAATGTCATCAGTGTGCAGCAGCTGTGAAAACAGCAAATTCTGTGATAGGGATCTTTAAGGAAGGGGTGAAACTAGAATTTCTAGTGTCATGGTGCCCTTATAAAAATAGATGGTTCATCTACACTTGGAATACTGTGTTCTGTTCTGGTCTTCCAATCTCAAAAAGATATGTTTGAGCTAAAAAAGACACACAAAAATTGAAATATGAATAATCCAAGGACTGGGACACTTTCATTACAAGGAAACACTACAATGCCCAGGGCTCTTCAGTTTAGGGGCAAAAACAACTAATACCAAAATTCAGGGTCATGCAGTAAAATTGACTGGCAGTAGTTTTATGGTACACACACAAAGAAGTGCCTTTTCAAATAATACATACTCCATTTATAGAATTCACTGCCATAAGATGTCACAAGATGGTCACTGGCTGAGATGGCTTGCAGATTCATTGAGGAGAGGTCTATTAATGGCTATGAGTCATGATGGAAGCTCCAGATTCAGAGGTGGTATGCTACTGAGTATCATTTGCCACGAAACAAGAAAGACAGAGGGCTATTGCCTTTATGTCCTGCTTATGGTTCCTAGAAGTGTATCTCCTAGGTCACTCTGAATGAAGAGCAAAATGATGGACTAGATGAAGTTTTTATCTGATTCAGCATGACTATTCTCATGTGGGAGTTTCACTCAACACTGGAGGAAGTCACTTTATAACTCTCTCCCCTGAGTGGACAGCTAGAGGAACTGTGCTCCAGCTACCTGTTGCGTTCACACTGAGGACTTGAAAAACACTGGGCTTCACATGTCCTCTTCCTTCTCAGCAACCTTGCCACTGCTGCACGTTTTTCTCCAAAACTTTCTGGAGTAAGGCTTGCCCTAAGTCGCTAATTGGTCAAAGGATGAACAGCACCAATTAATAGCTCTCACGAGCGCAGCTTCTTGTAGCTACATGCCACTGCTGCACACTCAAACTCACCTCTTCAATTCTACCCTTCTGCTTCTTTTTGATGACATAGGCTGGTGGTCCGTAATGCCAGTTTGATGTCTTAGCTGCTACTCCGAGCATTGAGAGCATTGAGAGCAAATTGATCTATCCCAGAAGCCTCTTTTGTATTCTATCCTTGGTGCTTCAAGATGGTGTCAGATTAGCAAGGCAAATTCATTGGAAGGAATCAAAACTTTTAAAAACTTAGAAAACTCATATCAACCAGCTGATCAAATAAAAGTTACAGGCCTAGCTGAAATACATAAATATTTTTACAACATACTTTTTCCATTTTAAAGAACTAGTGTGACACTGACACTAGGAATCAATATTTACATGACCACCTTAAAATGGATATCTGTTTATAATATCTGTTTGTTGCTATCTTTGAAGCTCTGGAACAACACACAAATGCAGCCAGAGAATATTGCATAATTTGACCTTTGGTTGATTTTAATTAGGATGAACACCCTTAACTGTGCAGAATCCTTGAACATTATATTTAAAAAATCACATTTATTACCCCAGTAGTGTATTAATAGTCTTGCAGTAGAAGAGATGTTATTTTCTAAGCCTACAAGTCATATAAGTGATAAGGTATGCAGTGACTTGTTGCACTGCTTATTTTATTTTAAGCTCATAAGAATCCATCTGACACAGTAGTTAAGCAGCTGGTACACCGAGATCACAGAGTATCTTGCTTTTTGGTAGCTTTTTGTTGCACCCTCATTTCTATCAGTATCTACCTTCTGTCACTTCATAATTCTTGAGGCAAGTAGACTGTTTAGTACAGGGGTAGGCAACCTAAGGTCCGCGGGCCAGATGCGGCCTAATCGCCTTCTCAATCCGGCCCACAGAAGGTCCAGGAATCAGCGTGTTTTTACATGAGTAGAATGTGCTCTTTTATTTAAAATGCATCTCTGGGTTATTTGTGGGGCCTGCCTGGTGTTTTTACATGAGTAGAATGTGTGCTTTTATTTAAAATGCATCTCTGGGTTATTTGTGGGCCATAGGAATTTGGTCATTTCCCCCCAAAAAATATAGTTCGGCCCACCACATGGTCTGAGGGATGGTGGACCGGCCCACGGCTGAAAAAGGTTGCTGACCCCTGGTTTAGTATAATGTGACTGAAGATGGTAACATAATAAATAGGATTGAATTAAAGATAAATTCAGACAGCATACAACCTTTTACAAATATCCACCCACCCTTTATAAATAATAAAGATGGCACCATGAGTCATTCACTAAGCTAAAATTACCAGAAATAGTATGTGTAATGAGTTGGAAGATTTAAATCTCCACCTCTAGTCTATATATATAGACCTCTAGTCTATATATGGACTTGAAAAATGTGGCCCTAGATCAACCAACCCATTGGAAAATCTATAAAACAGGGAAGGACTAGCAAACAGCAGTGTTAATGTATAGGGGAAAGGAGAAGGGATGGAACTTTGAGTGTGCACACAACATGTACATGTACACACACACACACACACACACTTCTTTCCAGGCACACTTTCATACCAGTGCACATCCCCCCATGTCCACTCACATGTATGCACACACAAAGGGACAGAAACCTGACAGCGTGTATAGAACAGATTCTTTCTTTGGTCTGTATACCCAGGTGAGTTCTTTTTTATCCATCCTCTGGATCCCTATCTCTCTGTGGCCTTTTGCACATAATGCTAAGTCAATTTCAGTGTGAATGAGCTAGCATGCTGGTGCACTATTAGAAAATACTTTGCTCCGCTGCTCCTGCTGCACTACCAGAAGCCACTATCAGGTGTGTAGCTTGGCATTATGTTTGAACCCTGGCTCCTAGTTTGCCAATCACAAACAAACCATGAGCCAAGAGCAAGCCTCATGGTCTGTTTGGAATGAAAAACCATGAGCCTAGGCTTATATGTAATGCTAAGTCAAAGCATGGTTTAGGTCCTGGTAGCAGCAGGAGCAGCTTAGGAGCAAGGAAGCCATGATTTTTTCAACTGTATATCTGCATGCTAGCTTATTCACACTAAGCCATAGCTTTGCTTAGCATTAATGCCAGACCACTGTCTTCCAATCCCTCTGACCATCTCTGAATCCACATTCCCCTTTCCTATCTATTCTAGCCCTATCACCAGTTTCTCCACACATGCCTCTGTTACACAGTTAACCTCTTCCATCAACACCTAAAGAGGAAGGAAGTGCTTTCAAGATGCTACTAGGCCTGGGCAATATATCAGTATATCACCCAGGACTGCTATGAGGGGCAGACCGCAATGATGGCTTCACTTAGTGGTATATCGCAAGGTGCAACCGCTGCCTCCTGAGTCCCTCTGCTACCAGCGCCCAGGTCACTGAGGGAAAAACAAGCTGGAGCCGGGTACTGGAGGCAGAGGGACTCAGGAGCGGGGCAGTTTCACCAGCGATATACCACTGAGTGAAATCACCATGACAGTCAGCCCCTCATACCACAGCAGAGGGAGAAACAAGCTGCATCAGCAAGGCACCAATACAGCTTCTTCCTCCCTCGCTTCTTGTTCCTCCCTTGCTGAAAAGCCTCAGCCAAACAGTTTTACAGAGCCCCCGACCTGCCACCAGCTAGTGATATACCACCATACCACAATGTTTAGCTGGCGGTATACTATGATGTCATAAAGCACTTATCACCCAGCCCTACATGATACTAGGCATGTAGGCAATTTGCTAAAGCGCCTGTTGCAGCAGCAGAATGAAGCATCTTGAAGGCACTTTCTCCCATTTCAGTTCAATGGCAACGCTTTAAGAACTGAAAAGGGGACGCAGCGATGGGCAAGTAGGTGGGCAAGCAGCATATGCACTCTAGTCTTACAAGCTGGAACATTCTCATCCTGGCAGCTCAAAGCGAGCGTTTGCATACTAACATAGGACATTTTCCTTTGGAGGCATCGGAGTAGTGGGTGGGTTGTTTATGTTTTTGGAAAGCTTAGAGTGCTACCTTCACAACAGACCATTTTAAATAGATCAGAAAAATCAATATTCATGTACATGCATGCAGACGCTAAGAAACTTATTTCCGTATTAAGAAAAGCCCTTAAAATTTTTCTACAAAACAGCACAAGTTCAAAATGAGAAGGCTTCCCACTGATATCTATCTTGCCACTGAGAGAACAGGATTGTGGCCTAGATGGGACACTGCTCTTATGTTCTTAGAATTTTAGCAAATATACCTACAGCAGATCTGTTCTCTTTACACCACCTGCTTTGGCGGTTGAGAAGTGTGGTTCTTATTCTACCTGCATATCCGCAGTTAGCCTTAGCACAAAACAGTTGACAGTTAAAGAACTACTAAGAAAGTGCAACATTCTTTAACTGACATTTACGGCACTGGCCTTGGACTTCTAATCTTTAGCAGACAGGCACACAAATCAATCCATCAGCTCATAAAGGTGTGCTTTCTTAACCTCTAAAACAGATGGGATTGGCTAGAAATGTCTAGCATGTCAAACTGTTAATCACTGTTGCCCTTTCCACAAAATAACTCACTTAAGTTGAGGCATGGTTGCACTGTAACCGACATTAGTCTGTGGGAAACCCATTTAACTGTCACATACTCCTGCCACTCCTGCTCTCCCTTAATTAAGCCTAATGCCTTATAATTTGACCTTTTGTGCCAACCTATTAACCCTATCTAGTACAAGTTCAGATATGTTAAACTAAAAATTTGCTGCAAAATATTAAATGCCAACCAAGCTGCAGAAAACAGAAGTGTTATGTTTGTCTACCCAAGTATGATAGGTCTCCTCCATACACAACCCCCCCCCAATAAAAAATGTAGAAGAGTGGGAAATGACACTGATGCAAGAGTTGCATTCTTAAATTAAGACACAACACAACTTAATAGAATGTACTGTTGTTAAAACTATTTCAATATGCTTCTTTCAACACTATCCCTGCCCTGTGGAACTTGGCTGGCAAGTTGCCAATCAATTTGGAAGTGAAATGAGGCCATTCAAAAACAAGTTAGTGGTTTCTCCATACTTGTGGGACTTCCTGGGTTCACAGAAGCAGATAAATTTGTAAATTAAAAGAAAAAGGCATTTTAATACACACACACACACACACACACACAATGGTCCTATGAACTTTCAGAACCTACACATGTTGAAGCCATAGAAATCCTGAGCTCTTTAGCGCTATATAGCACAGGGAGATGAGGTTTCAAAAGAGTGGGAAAGAAAAAGATTGTCCTCTGTGAATTCCAACACACAGCTAGAAACCTGAATTGGACTATTCCAGTTAGAGGCAGTGATACACTACAACATTTTGTTGCAGACCCTCACTTACAATTAATATACTTCTTCCACCAGTTATCAAACCTTATAATATCAGCATATGTTAATGAAAATGAAAATGATTACAGCAGCACTATTGTGTTATAAAAGTTTTAATTTCCCTGTTATGGTTCACCAATACTAATTACATTGTTCCTTAACAGGACAATATATTTTATTCCATATCAGGGAGATCATTTGCAAATTTAGGAGGTAGTATAATCGAGAGAGACTCTTGAGAGTCCCAAGGACTGCAAGAAGATCAAACCTATCCATTCTTAAGGAAATCAGCCCTGAGTGCTCACTGGAAGGACAGATTGTGAAGCTGAGGCTCCAATACCTTGGCCACCTCGTGAGAAGAGAAGACTCCCTGGAAAAGACCCTGATGTTGGGAAAGATTGAGGGCACAAGGAGAAGGGGACGACAGAGGATGAGATGGTTGGACAGTGTTCTCAAAGCTACCAACTTGAGTCTGACCAAACTACGGGAGGCAGTGGAAGATAGGAGTGTCTGGTGTGCTCTGGTCCATGGGGTCACAAAGTGTCGGACACGACTTAACAACAACAACAAATGAGAGAGAGAGAGAGAGAGAGAGAGAGAGATTGCTATCGAGGCTTCAAAATGCTTTCAAATAGAAGACAAATAGTCGTCCTGAGTCACTATAGCTGACAACTGAAAATTATTAGTTTTATCAAACTCTGACCAACTTCACAAGTTAAAAACGTAACAATTTTTTTGCACTAACATTTGAGTCAGAAAACTTCACAGTGCCATAAATCTACCAGGACCTGATTCAGCCTGTTTATTTGGTTTATATTTAGAAAAAGTATGCAATGTTAATTTTACTTGATGTATAAATAACTCAAAAGTTTATTTTAGATGTCTGAACCACATGACAATATGAAAGCGTTTATTGGAGTTTTAAAAGAAAAAAAATTATTTTCCAATAGCTAAAAGTGAACTAATTATTTGACTAGGATTGAATATTCAACAAAGAACACTTCAGTGTCGATTAATACACTTATCAGCCTGGTTTTGTTTTTTCTTTCCCTTGCAGTATATTAAATGAAAGAGTATTACTTTTGGCTTTGATTTTATTTACGACTGCTCGGATGAATTCATGACTTGATTTTTGCTTGTTTTACTTATTTTTGGTTTTAATTTAAACCTTCCTTTTGTTTACAAATAACTATACTGTCTGTGTGTCTGTGATATTGAAACCAGATAGATACACAGTAGTTTATAATTTTGAAAATGTATCATTTGGCTGTTATTGGACCTATTCATTATGTTACTAATTTTATGTATTTTTAGAATGTTTTTTATGGGAAATGTTCTGTCCCACATGGTACCAACATAAAGTAATTTAAACACTAAACAATAAATGGTACTAAATACAATCTTATGCAATGCATATTAACCATTCCAGTTATTGCTATGCAGACTTCACACAAAACAAGAGTGTTGAGTAGTCATTTGACTAAAATATTTTTCTTGGAACTACTTTAAGTATGAAGGCCTTCTTTTTAGTCTTCCTTTCATGCCATCCTAAATGCAATCTATATATTCCTCAAGGATTCCGAACTTATTATATATAAGAGTCAGACTACAAAAGTATGCATATATGTTCCCCTTTTTTAATGCATGGCTTAATCCAGGGAAAGCTAAGAATTTTAAGTTCCAATGGAAAAAGCTGAAGCATGCACTTAATTTTCCCACCAAAATGAATGGGACTTTAAACAGTGTTTTATATAAAATGTATATAAACATAGGTAAGATTCACATTCTTACTAGCCCAGAGCTTTCCAAACTTTTCATGTTGGTGACACACTTTTTAGACATGCATCATTTCGCGACACAGTAATACAGTTTTACTAGCAAACCAGAGATTAAACTACATCCCTTTCCAGCATTTGTGCAACACACCTACTGACTGCAGCCGATACACTAACGTGTCATGACACACAGTTTAGAAAGCTCTGTACTAGCCTAATAAGAGACTACTAAATGTGGTCATGCTATAGCTACAGCTAGGCACTTTGATTTTAGTGGAAGAATTGTGGGTGTTGAAATCATTTTCACTGCAATGTGGTGCAGTGGTTAGAGTGTCAGACTAGGACCTGGAAGACCAGGGTTAAACACCCCCCCCACACACACACACACAGTCATGAAGCTCAGTGGTGACCTTGGGCCAGACGCTGAATTTTTCTCTCTAACCTACTTCACAGAGTTTTTGTGGGGATTAAATTAGGGAGGGAAGAACCATGTATGCCATCTTGATCTCCTTGGATAAAAAGGTGGAATATAAATGCACCAAAAAAGAAAAACTAAATATACTCAGGCAGTGTTTAAAACTCCCATTGTTCTAGGCGCATTTTGTGACAGGGAATTTCATTAATGCAAGCAGTCTGAGCTCTGGGCACAGTACTGTGCCTAAGATTTCAGATTAAAAGTGCAGAGTAGAAGGAAAATAGGACCTTTTTCTGCCTCCCCACTTCTAGCTACTCTCTGAAGACTGGAAAAGAGACCCTCTTAAGAATATCGGGGGGCGGGCAGAGGAAGGACTAGACCATTTGAAAAATGAACATAATATTTTAGCAGCAGTTGATTCATTTTCACCTTTGTATTCTCATTATAAATGCAAGCCTAGAAATTCTGTTGTTCTGCCCATAACCTAGGTTTAAGGTGCCATTTAGCTCCTAGCTTTCATATCCCAGTTTCTAACACTGCATTTAGGTGCTTAACTTTAAAAGTGGCAGTACTCTGATGGCAGGGCGTTTAAGTAAGGCCCCTTTCCCACACTGTTCTGAAGGGTTCCCTCTCCTCTCCCAGTGGCAATAGATGACCCCATCAGTGTGAGCAAAGTCTGAATCCAGCCTAATAATCACACACAGTTTTATAAACTTTATACACATTATTCAGTATTCACAAACCAATGCTCAATTGGGAAGTCATCAAGTTTTCAGATCTAACTGAACTATTCAAGGCACTATACAAAAATCTGTATAAATTTTCAAATTACAAAAAGTTCAGAAAACATCTGAAGAAAAGAAAACTTCCCCAACTGTTGGTATATTAAGTTATTTTCATCTATTGTTTTATTTGTCATTTACCTAAAATGTGATATGGATTGGCTGAATCTGTATTTCTGTAAGTTCGGCCTATGTAACAAAGTAAACAAAGATGTAACACAGACAACCATAAAAAAAATTCAGATTTGCACTCATCACAAGCACACAACAGCACTTTGAACTGATTATTATTGGCTGGGGGCACGTGGAAAAGATGTGTGCATGCATTCAAATATGTACATGTGGGGAGTACGACCCCAGTGCAGGGATAAAATGAACAGCTATTTGTGCTTCCATATATAGGTAGGAAGGGTAAGTGGGAGAAACAAATGGTTCATCCATATTCCTAAAGATCCAATTGCTCCTTTTGCCTGAAAAACGTGGGATTATGTTAGCTGCTGTAGAATGCTGTCCTTCCCCATATCTCAATAGTGCAATGTACTTGATCCCACCAACTCACCACAAAGCTTTCCTTGTGAGAGTCAGCACTGAAATTTCTCCTCAAAGGTGAGTCCCACATGTAGTTCCTAGCTACAGAATTACAACCCCACAGAAGAACACCAGTGCCTGATTATGTTCATGCTAGCCAGTGCCACATGGCCAGAGCACACCGTCCAAATAGATGCTCCAAAATTATGAACTTATTTCCAGTTTGAGATTTCATATTCTGAACCAGACTATCTTCCAGATGAAGAAGAACAATTTTGTTTCGATTGCGATGTTAGTACAGGTGGCTTTAATCTATAACACTGGGAAATTTTTACAGTTCACACTTTAGTTCCGCTATTAAAGGATTTTTATTCAATACTTGCCCTCAGGATAATGATCTGTAACTAACTTTCTTTTCTTTATAAATTCATCTTGCTACTGGAAAAAAGAATCCAGATTTTTAAAAAATGTTGGGCAAATTTACTGCAGTTTTAAGAAAAGACGGACACGGACTTAAGTAGACTACAATGCAACTACAGGATCCGTCTTTCCACTTTTGAAATTCTGACGTTGAAGGGGGGGAAATAAGCACATGCATTTTGCAGAACTGATTTAAGGAAGGCATGTATTTAATCAAAATAAAGAGGAAATACACAGATTTTTTTAAATGCTAAATGCATATTAGGTTGATCTACCTCTTCCAATTTGGGAATGTCTTCTTTGGAGGAAAGTGTAGAGTATAGCTCAAATAAAATAAATAGGAAAATAAAATACAATATTGACATGCCTTTTTATACACACTGCTGCTGTTGTAAACAGCTTGCCTTAAATTCTTCAAAAGAAAAAAATCATTTGCTTCTTGTAATTTGCAACTGTTAGTTAATATTTTACATATTAACATGTGACCAGGAAAGTTGTATTTTGAGCATGCATGCAATTAAGTGTGCACACGCGTTAATTTTATTAAAAACATGAACAAAAGTGCAAATTACATACATATACTTTAAAAATGACTAGGAGAAGAAACAAGTTGGAAGAAAGAACACAAGAAGATTCTTGATAAGACAAAGGGTCTATCTAATCTGTTACTAACAGACAGATGCCTCAGGCAGGCACACAAATTTGGCATGAAAGCCTTCCTGGGTGATATTCAGAAATATAGTCTCAGAATGTGGATGTTCCATTTAGATATCATGACTATCAGCCATAGATAAACGTAATCTCTATTAATGAGCATAATCCTTTTTTGAAGCATAAAAGCACAAAACTCCACCAGTCTCGGTCTCTAAAACAAAAATTATGTAACAAGTAAATAGTGTGTAAATAGTTTTAAATGGTCCTTAAAAGATGGTTTATTGACTAGATATATGTTGTACTAAAAGGACATTCCTGTTTTCATAGCTCAATCTGCCTCCATTTACTATATAAAAATAGAAAATAATAATAATAATAATAATAATAATAATAATAATACCAAGCATTCATTTACAAAGTGCTTTACACAAGTTCTTTCAATAATCCTAATAACAATCCGTAAGAGCAGGAAATGGGGAGATGGTGGCTTGCCTAAAAGCTAACAGTACAATCCTATGCATGTCTACTCAGAAAGAAGTCCCACTGAGTGTATGTGAAGGCAGTATTAAGAAGCCAATTGTTTGCCCTAAAACAGGGGTCAGCAGGGGGCCGGTCCACTGTCCCTCAGACCTTGTGGAGGGCCAGACTATATTTTGGGGGGGAAATATGAATTCCTATGCCCAACAAATAACCCAGAGATGAATTTTAAATAAAAGGACACATTCTACTCATGTAAAACCATGCTGATTCCCGGACCATCCGCGGGCCAGATTTAGAAGGTGATTGGGCCAGGCCTTAGTTTGCCTATCCATGCCCTAAAAGAAGCAAGACTGAGAAGTGTCTTCTTTTGCCTTCTACCATTCTCTGTTCTCATGACAGGAGACATTGGAAATGATTTTCAAATAGCACGGTTTATAAACTTTCTTGGTTCTGGGAATCCTTATTGTATACTGCAGAGGAAACCCTGAGCATCTGCCACAGACCTTTTGCTTGTTGAAAAAGATTCTGACAAATGTCCCAGGATATTGGTTTTGCCTTTGGTGCCTCATTATTATTCCACGCGAACTAAAAGCACCTTCTACAACACTGAAAAGTACCATTGGCTGCATGTCACAAGAAAACAATAATTGGCATGTTTTAGGAAGATCTGTCTGGTATTATACAGGTCTCACGAGCCTCAGCAAGGAAAGCCTAATAAGCTTCCAAAGAAATTCATCATTCATCAAAACAATTTATAACTGCTGCTTTACAACTAAAAAGGTATACAAAACCAATGTCATAGGAAACCTCTATAAGGCCTTGACATTTTCACTAGCATACAGTAGTGGAAGCCTAAGGCATGACCACCAGGCAGGATACAAAAGGAGCTTATGTAACATCAAGTAGTCTTTCATTTTTATTTTCATAACAATCTGTATTTGTTGAAAAAAGACATATTTTGTGCACATTTTTTTTTTTACAAAACACATCCTAGCACTTCCTTTATCGCAGATCTGAATACCATTTTCGGTGGCTAAGAAGTGGTATAAAAATCAGTAAATAAGATAACCAATCAAAGAGCCAACACAGAAGTAAAATGCATATTTGCATTTAAGATGCATTAAAAATATGTACATTACATCAGATGACGGGAGGGGAAGGAGCACAGTAGACAAGGAGGCAGAATTTAACCCTTCCCTTCCCTGCTGTGCTCATAAAGAAAATTCCTTTTTTTAAAAGCTGGTATTTGCTGGGGGGGGGGGGAATCCCTCATTGGGAGGAAATCCTCCATTAATGCCAATGTAAATAGCTTCAGAGGAGAGATTTTCCTTGGAAATCCAGCAGGGGAATAAAGAATTATATTCCCCTTCCATGCTTTTATGATCACCATAATGATTATCTTCTCCAGCTGATGCAATGTCTAACTGAAACAAACAAACAAACAAACAAACAAACAGCTCAAACAAATGAAAATAAAATGCCACATCTAGTTTAGACCAGTAACCTGTCACAGTTCTCATACTTCACCTTAAAACTGAGTTTGAAAAACAAGATACAAGAAAGGAGTTAGAATTTTTCTCCAGGATTTTTCCCCCCAGAATAAATGCAATACATACAAAATACCAGGTTCAAAACACATGTAGTATTTCCAGACCCAGGACTAATCATCACACTAAAGTGCGAATGTTTTCTAACCTCTATGTAACAGGCACCATAGATTAATAAACTTTTGCATCTTTTAATTTATAACTTTCTCAAAGATCCCATGGGCCTTCAAAGGGATTTTCAGAGCTCAAAACACAAAGAAGACCTCAGAACACAGAAAACTTGCACATGCCCAGTAAAAATTAATACATGAATTAAACTGTAGTATCCTAATGGATAAATTATGGATATGCCAAGTGCTCTTGCTGCATTTTTTTAAAGTTTAGTCTATAAGACTTTGCACTTTCTGCATCATGCTTCATTCTCCTGAAAATTATAGCCTCTTGAGATTTTATATTATTTAATGAGATTTATTCACTTTATCAATAATAATCATAGTGTGCACAACAGCATTCATTCGAATTTCAACAACTTGGATATGGTTTGTGAAGGAGGGACCTTGTAGTCAAATTTAACTTCTGGTTAAGTAAATTAGCAGATGAAATTTAACAAGCTGAATGGGTGAATGTGTAAAATGCTACCATTTCACTGTTTAATGTTTTGCTGATGTTTTCTTTAAATTGTCTTCCGGTGAATAAGGAGGAACAGAATAATGACCAAGATAATGGAGGACACAAGACTTCTGTCCAAAACAATTGTGAGAAATCTTGAACCTCTTTAGTGGTCAGAAGTGGAGATCAAATGCAACCAGAGAAGACAGATTACAGGATACAGTGCAGACTGCAACTTATCTCCATGCAACAGTAGCATATCACGCAACCATCACACCTTCCATTTCAATCTATTATCAATTTGCAATGAGGAATTTACTCAAACAACAACAAACTATGATCTTTCTTTCACTGAAGAAAGGGGGGAGCCAAGCAAACTTATTAAACTTATACTTTACATTTGAATTTAGCTGTTTGTACCACGTGAGCAGTCAACCACCTACAAGCATTTGCAGACATTAAAAATAGTCATCAGCATTATCCCTTCAAACATCTTTCTATTCAGTGCTCTAACACTTACATCAGAAACTTTTAGTGATGTGTCACACATAAGTTTAAATAAAGATCCACTCAGATCGGCCACTAGAAGAGTCTTTATTTTACAGGCTAAAGAAGAAGACCTCCAGAAAGTAACCTTTTATTTCTGAAATTCAGCATGTTGAATAGGTACTCTTTTCCTAATGAATTATATGATTTATATATCCGTACAATTCTGCATGCAGCCATGACTTACTAATCTGTTTCAATGCCAATTGAATAAAGCATCTCAGCAATTAGTTATCACGGAACCAGTTAGTTATGACTTAAGACACACAAAATAGATTTTCAGAAACTTCATCTTGCCAAATAGAACATACACTAGAGTACACCTGAAAATATGACGGCGTTTTAAAAGAAGAAGCCCATGTATCAAGGATTCACAATCATGTCAAACAGGGATACATTTAATTTTTTAAAAATTAAAGTCTCTTAATACCACTTCTAGAGACCTTACCGTCACAGAACAAAATTTCTGCTCAAATACGCAAACTATTTGCAATGACAGCCCAACTTGTTTCCAAGTCCATTTTCCAATTTCTCAAATCACAACGAAGAAGAAAACACTTTAAAATATTTATACTTCCTAGGGTGAGAAAAGTAATCAGAAGGATATAGAGTGCGACCGAATGTGGTGGTGCTTTGCCATACAGACGAAAAGGAAAGGACAATATGCGGGGGGAAAGGAATGGAGGAGCGTAGCATGATGGAACTAAATAATGAGAAAGCACCTTTTCTGGAGGATGGGGATGGAGTGGGAGTTTGTATGTGACACAGAAGAGGGGGTGGAGGGGGGAATCTACCCAGCCGGTGTGCGTGTGCATGTGTGCGTGCGTGCGTGGCGATGGAGAGGAAGTGAATAAATAACCAAGTGAATAAATAACAGGAGGTGAGCGCAGACGGAAAGGAGGCATGGCCTTGTCTAGTGCGGTTGTGCAGGCAATTAAGAAGAGGTGGAAGCTCAGCAAGGGATGGAAAGAGACTTTGGAGCGAGGGAGAGAGAGGGAAGGAAGGCGGACGCTCGAGCCACACGCCAGGTTTTCCTCTTCCCTTCCACATCCCGCAGAGGAGCTGCTGCTGATGGAACTGCAGCTCCTGCGCACAAGACTTCGTGGCTCCCTGAATAATTCAGGGAGGGAGGGGGGGGGGAGAGAAAGGTCCGTCTCTCAGAAAGAATGCAAAGCAAGAAAAGGGGGTCAGCAGAAGGGAACTACCCACTCCGCTTGCCCTGCCTTCCCACCCACATTTAATTGCCGGTCAAACTTTATTTGTCTAAAATGCTTCGCGAGGAGGGAGACGGGCTGCCACCGGAAATAATCTCTCGCTCCTGGGAGACCCGAAGTCAAGCCCGGGTATTGTTCCCTCGTCGCCGCCGGAGCCCCATCCCTCTCTCTCTCTCTCGCTCCCTCCCTCTCCGGGCGCTCGCTGGTTCTGTCAGGTTGCCAACGCAGCGCCTCCGCTCCCCTCCGTCTCTCCATCGAGCCCCCAGCCGCCGCCGCCACCACCGCGGCCATTTCCCACTGCTCGCCTCCCCTCTCTCCAGCGGCAGAGGCGGAAAAAGCGCCGGCCTCCGTGGCCCTCGCCAACTCACCTCGCCGGCCCCTTGCGCGGCCACCGCCGCTCCCAGCCGCCTTTCTCCCGGGAAGCTGCTCCTGCCCTCCGTCTGCCTTGGCTCGCCTCTCGCCCTCCTGTCCGTCGGAGGCAGAGCTCCGAGCGCGCCGCTGCCGCCGCCTCCTCCTCCGCCTCCTCCTCCAAATGCCACCCCTGACAAGCGGGCGCGAACTCCGGCGATGAGTTCTAGCGCGGAGAGCTCCGGCCAGCGGCGCCTGAACGGGGAGGGCAAGAAGCAACTCGTGAAGGCGACGCCGCCGCAGACGCCCGCCCAGCACGCAGATACACAAAGCTCCCCGGGGACGCCGTCCTCTCCGGAGCAAGAGCTCGGCGCCCGCGCTGGCAGCAGCGCCTCCGCTCTTTCTCGCTGGTTCGGGGCTCTGCTGCAATGCCTGTGAGGCTGACTTTCAAAGCCTCACCCGCAGCCCGAGATCCTCCCTCCCCTCCCCTCCCCTCCTCCCTTTCCACCCTGTCAGCCCGTCCCTCCCCTCCCCTCCTTCCCTCTCCCCTCCTCGCCATTCATCGCTTGAGCCAAGTTTCTCCGGTTTAACCTCTTTCTCTCCCGGCAGCCACAGCCAAGCAGATGTGCGAGGCAGGCTCGCCGAGGAGTCTGCCTGGGAGCATCTCTGCAACTGGAGAAAGACGAGGCTTGAAAATAAAGTTGATGTTTGACTGTAAGGACAATAGATAGACAGGCCAGCTTTGCTTGCTTGCTTTTTTTACAGGGCACGCATGCGATATATATATATTTAATACAGTATTGTACACTGTTCTGAGCGGGCGAGGGGGGAGGGGGCAGATCTTAAATCAAGGATATTCAAATCCTGTTCTGAGCGCTGTAAAGCCCCAAAGGAGGAATGCTTTGCATAATTGCACCATATAAGCAAAAATAAGTCCTGGTGTTTTGCATTGCGATTTTTTTTCTGGAATAGTTAATGCACACCTTTGATGTGTTGGGTTCAATGTTCATTTGCGGACTCCAACCATGAGTGTGTGGAAGGTAATAGGACTCCAGTCAACAAATTTAAACACATTTTAAATTTTGCTGAATTTCATTATTTAATATCTGTTATGTGTATGTCTTGTTTGAAGCCTTTCAAGTCCACCTCTAAGCTTTCAATTGGGAAACACACGCCCCAGCTAATAACGTGAGGTCAAGAAGGACATGAAGTTGTCTGATATCCTATTTTGAAACATTCTTTCAAGGTTTTCTGTCAAGGGTGCCCCAGTATTACAGAGCCTGGACCAAGGTCTTGGTGGGGTGCGTAAGTCCATCAGGATGGGTGAGGAAACATAAATGGGAGAGACTCAGAATATGAAGAAGACTTCATGTCACATAGGTTTGGCAGGTGTGGCTGTTGAGGAGTAAGGACCAGAACTGAACTTGGAAGCGCCTCCAACTACAGCTGAACAAACTAGGAAATTATGGTCTCTGTTTGTCCAGACCTGATTACAGTGGTACCTCAGGTTAAGTACTTAATTCATTCTGGAGGTCCGTTCTTAACCTGAAACTGTTCTTAACCTGAAGACCACTTTAGCTAATGGGGCCTCCTGCTGCCACTGCGCCGCTGCTGCATGATTTCTGTTCTCATCCTGAAGCAAAGTTCTTAACCCGAGGTACTATTTCTGGCTTAGCGGAATCTGTAACCTGAAGTGTATGTAGCCTGAAGCGTATGTAACCCGAGGTACCACTGTACTAACAAATAGTTTCCTAGAACTTTCAAAAGAAAAGACCATACCTAAATATGCTCTCAGCTACTGAAATAAAAATGTGGCCCAGATCCCTTTTTAAATGTGTCAAGTACCGGTAGTTGTTTTCAACTGTTTTTACTATTTTATTCTTTGATGGTTTCTCTATTTTACAATCAGGTGATGTATAAATTTTATGAAATAAATGAGATCCAGAGGTGCATGTGTATCGGGTCTGAGTGCACCTCATAGTTTCCATCTATTTCAGCACTTTCCAGCTGTTCAGCTTTCTCAAGAACTTCTGGGAAGTAAACTAACAGATAACTTCTATTATGTATGTATACACCTTTATTCAATCACATCCCTAGATCAGACAGTGATAGAGTGATGTATAGCTGCACAAGTTTTTTTCTTGCTTTTTGTTTTTTGTTTTTGCTTTTTGGGTTAATTAATTGTGGCAGTGAGAGAGGGTGATGGGTGAAGGATCCAGCCTTGAGGATCTCTGAGTCCTTATTACTACCAACTCAATATGCCTTGGCAAATGTAACACCAGTACTGTAATACTGATATCCCTTGCTAGTAAATAACAGCCAGTGGGACTCCTCTGGAGTAAATAGTTTCAAACATAATACTCATTGAAACAATGATTTAATAACTCTCCCAAGAATGACGGCAAAGTCTGATTAGTAAAGATGGCTAGACGTGTTTGAGATCATTTGAGGTAAAGGGCCAATTCAGACACTCATAAAGGTTCCTCTCCCTCTTCTAAAGCCCTGAAACCAGAAGCGTTGTGGAGTGAAGATGTGATATTTCATTTAGCACAACTGCTGTATAGTGGGATCAGTCCATGGGAAATAAAGTTCTGTGGAAGGATATGGATTGCCCCTAAATGAATTTAGAATTAGGTTCAAGATAATTTTATGAAAGGGCAAGAAAGACTGTTATGTATGTTCTACAGATTAAAACTGAACCTATTTCAATCAGTGGCTAGAGTGGAACGTTATAAATTCATTTGTGTGTTGTAAGATAGCAAAGGAAGGAGCCAGAGAGAAGCCAGGGGGTGGGGGGAGAAAAAATAATTACATCCATGGCAGAATTAATTTACAGTTTTACTGTTATTGCAGTATTTAAGAGGTCGAGAAGGGCAGGTTGCGATTTAGTTAAGGGAGCTCTGTTTCATTTGTCAAACAGAATGAAGTGTTTTGTATAAAGTATTGTAACATGATGTAGTGACCTTAATGCATTGACACTGAGTTCATATACAATGTAACTTATCGTAGATGTCATCTTCATTAAGTACAATAAGAATAGCATGTGAAGTTAAAAAAAAAAAGTAAATAGAAATCATTGGCGTTTCAGATAAATGTACTGAGAGGTAAGTAATAAAATGCGAACATTTGTAAATCATATAGAAACTGTGTGCCACTGTATATAAAACTGGTCCTAAACAGACCACAACAGATGCAAGTGGTGGCTCCATGAACCATGTTTCCTCTCTTGCCACAGTTCTTTGCTTTTCCTCCCAACAGACTCTCGGCATTCTGTGACCCCTAAGCATGCTCAGTCCTTATTGCTTTGTTTTGCGGCAGAACAGCAAGTGGAAGAATGACTGGAATGGAATTTTGTGCTGTGTTAGAATGAGTGACAGGCAAAGACTATCTGTTAGAAAATGACAGTGGAGTGGTGGAAGGGTGTGGCTGTCAAAGAAACAGAGAAGAGGAGAGTGAGGCGAGATGAATGATGAAACCATACATGAAAGAGTTAACACAATTATTAAGAAGTTAGTTAGGCTAACCAGCTGCATTCCACTGCTGTTTATGTGTAGTTTCTCAGACTAGCTTCACCCAATACATATTGGAGTCCTTAGTTCCTAATTCATCTCTAGCTAAGGTGTGAACAACTTTGCATAGGATAAAGCTATCCCACCCATAAATGTCCCCTAGTATGTACACAGATAGAAAAGAATGGAAGACATGCTAATGCAAACAGCCCCGGGGGGGGGGGGGGGAGAGTGGTGAAACACACCAAAGAAAACCTAAGGTGGTAATGTGAGCACACCCAAATAGGCATAGGCTCATTGGGCTCAGATGGAACAATCAAAGGATGCAATGGAAAAAGAAATGAATGAAAATATCAGCAAGTGGAGAAAAAGTTGAACAATGCAAATGGCTATCATTTCAGACCAGGAGGCTATGTTTATTTTATTCCTCTGGGTGTTTGCAGACATCTTTGATTTAGAGACCTTGCTGTTGTGCAGCAGAGAAAGGTCTTTGCCACCAAGAGATCTGCATCTAACATGGTTGAGAGCTCATTCTTGTTTCCAAAGAGACAGTCACTGAGAATGAGGATTGGGAGTCACAAGGAGAAATTGCTAACTGTGTTCGTGCAAACTGATTGGAAAGAGGAAAAGAAAAAGATTGTCCCAGAAGAACCCAACTATGCTTGTGACGATGGAGTCTGAAGGTTCTGTTTGACCCAGGTGGTGGGGTGTTCAAAGGATCCCTGCAAATGGAATATAACCCAGTGGACCTTCTTGCCATTGTTCCAACCACAATTGAGGGCATCCTTTTCCTATGGTGGGTTAACACATGTCATAATTGCAATTCACAAAATTGTCCTTTGCTGTCATGGGATACCACATTTTGACAACTTGCGGGGGAGGGGGAAGCAAGTGACAGAAGGGTAAGTGGGGAAATGATTGACAGTGGGAGAGTGAGATTGAATGCTGGGTGGAGTTAGAGTGAGTGACAGGTAGAGGCTGTTGGTTGGAAAAAGGCAGTTGGGCTGCTTAGCACGGGGAGAATGAGATGAGACAGCTAATGTAAGTGTCTGAAAAAGAGTGAGTATAGTTAAGGAAAAGAGTTACTTAGGATAGGATATTGGAGCTATGCGTATTTTGTATTTGATGACTACTTGTTCTGGATATTATATTCCTTAATTAAATACATGTTCATGTTTTTACTGTCTGTATTGTGGTCTGGATGGATTCTAAGGTAAATATATCAGCCCATGTTGGATGCACTCAATAATAGAAGCAAAGAGTTTTACTGCTCCATGTAAGTCATTATGTGGTGGATGCCGCCACCCCCGCCACCACAACATTTTTGTTGTTGTACTGCTACAAACCTGGGCTATGCTGATATCTACCTTGTGTTTCTCAGTGGCCCCATTTTGGCTGCAATCCACAGCTGTGAAAATTGAAAAGCAACGCTAGAATGAATAGCAAACTAATCCATAGTACATTGTTGCTAATTCTACAATTTAAGTGCTTAAATATAATGGTTGATGGTATCAATATTACTGAACAATTAGCATATTCTTTAACTTCTGGTTTGAAGCATGTTTGCAGTAATAGTATTATTAAGGAAGTCACTTCACCATGGTTATATGTAGCATACAGTATTCTTATATTTGCTTCCCCTCCGTCCCTGTCTGCATGTCCTAATATGCTTCTGAAAGACACTGTCCTCTTTTAGCTGGATAGCTGTTCTAAAAATATACTTCTCACTATTCAGAATCAGAGAGTTCTGCATTATTAACACATAGATCAGACAGCCATGATCTGAAGTCGTATAAGCAATAAGGAAAAGATCTGAATGTTGGAGTTTTTTCATTATGCGATCCTGTAAGCTACCCTTTAATGCTACAAAGAGGGTTTCATATACAGTACTTGCAGCATCTTGCTGACTTGGTTCATGTCTTTGGAGTTTACATAACACTGTCTGTTCTCCTTTCCCTTCCACATTACTCTGTGCCTTCCTCGGGTTTGGTCAGCTACATAAGAGTGCAG